CCCACTTGGTGCCAGAGTCGTTTCCGGCATGGGTGTACTCGACGCGTACGACGACGATGAACTATTAGACGAAAGCGACGTCTCTTGTGAAGTGGATGATTCGCTAGATGACAGTGTCGATGAGATTGTCACATTTGGCGATGGAGATTCAGAGGTCGACAAACTTGTTTCTACCATCGACGTAGAGGACGCATAAGATGACGATGTGGTGGTAGCATACGAGAACGGAGTTGACTCTGCTGAGCTTGATTCGCTAGATAACAATGTCGATGAGATTGTCACATTTGGCGATGGAGATTCAGAGGTCGACGAACTTGTTTCTACCATCGAGGTAGAGGACGCATAATATGACGACGTGGTGGTAGCAGACGAGAACGAAGTTGACGCTGCTGAGCTTGACTCGCTAGATGACACGGTCTCACTCGGTGAAGGCGATTCGGAGGAAGATAAAGTTGGTTCTACTGAACTTGATGACGCGCTAGATGACACGGGCTCACTCGGTGAAGGCGATTCGGAGGAAGATAAAGTTTGTTCTGCTGAACTTGATGACTCGCTAGATGACAATGTCTCACTCGGTGAAGGCGATTCAGAAGATGCTGAACTCGTTGGTTCCTCCGATGTCGAGGACGCGTACGATGACGATGTATTCAGCGTAGAAGACGAGGAACTTTGGTCCTCCGAACTTGTTAATGTCACTGTAGGTGAAAAGGTTGGTTCCGAAGAGCTTGAAGAGAAGCTTGTGATTTCATAGGAAGACGAAGACGTCCACGAGCTGGAAGACTCTTCTGAGAAAGAAGACTCTGTGGATGACGAAAACGAACTTGAGCTCGGGGGATGTGTAAATGTCGGCTCCTCGCTTGACAGTGATGAACTCCATAAATCTGTTGATGTCCAGTATGCGCTTGAAAAGGTGCTTGATTCACTTGAAGTCGGCAATAGAGCTGAGGACTCGGTTTCACTTGGTGAAGGGCTTGGTTCAGATGATACCGTCTCACTTGGTGAGGGGCTCGGTTCTTGCGAGCTCGACCCAGTGGTTGACAACGTATCGGAAGTTGAGCTGGACAAGGCTTCTGATGATGAGGAGTCTGTGATGGAAGACGACGGTGTTGAGCTAGATTCCGTTGACGACGGGTTGTCATTGGACGAAGTGGGCATCGAGGTTGTGGTTTCAGTCATACTAGACGATGATTCCGTCTCCGTTGCCGATGATGAAGTGGTTGGCTCCACTGAGCTGGAAAACAGGGTTGATGACGAGGAAGTAGCCGATGGAGAAGAAGTTGGTTCCTCTGAACTGGAGGATTCTCCTTCTGTTGATGAGAAGGCAGTGGTGGATGGCGCCGGAGTTGATATGTCATAACTTGACGATTCTGTTGCTGATAGACTCTCACTGGATGATACATCAGAAGCTGTTGAGGAAGCTGTCGATGAAAAACTCTCACTGGACGATGCATCCGTCGATGACGAAGCTAAGTATGTACAGAATCAGCCCCCGCTCAAAACCGTTGCAAAGAAGACAAAACGACATACTTGTTGGTGGGTTAATACAATTGCCTAATTCATCCAATACTTGGGGAGATGAACACGAAATACACTGTCCCCGGTAAAGTTGGTATCCGTTGCTGCAGGTAAAGCATTTGTCAATACCGTTGCAGGTGGAGCACCCATTTTGACAAGCTTCATGGGAAAACCTGACATTAGTCTACCACAGCATTGAAACCATGCTGTTTCGGTCGACAGGAGCTTACCTGTACAGGTCCTGTCCGTTGACGAAGTCATATACTGTCCTGCTGGACATGCCAATGCACATTGATTCCCCACGAGTACAAGAGGGCTTGCACACCTGGTGCACTGTGTATAAGCAGGTCCAGTGCATTCAAGGCAGTCAGGATGACATCCTTTGAGACGAAAACATTAGACATCTTATGGAGGTTCTTGCTAAAGCCATGACGACTTACCAAAGCACTGTTGATTCACCACAAATTGGTTCGCCGGACATGACAGGGTAGGTGTACAGGTACCATTTGACAGTGTAATACCATTAGGACAGCTTGTGCATCGTCCAGGACCAGGGCCGGAACACGTTGCGCATGATGAATGGCATGCTGGAAAAATGAAATGAGCAACAAAAACTGGCAACATTCTTATGCTTTTTTACGACCCACCTCGACATGTAGAAGTGCCTTCATTGTATTGGCCGGCGCTACAACTCGTTACGCAGTGGCCGCTTACAAGGCTATATCCAGGAACGCAAGCGGTGCAAACCAAGTTATTTCTCTGCGTCTGATTATTCCAGTTGGCATCCCGGGTTGTAGCTGACGGGTTTATAACTATGCTCGCTGGATTTCCGCACCCAAGACATCCTAGAGGACATGCTATGTATTGTAATAAGGGGCATACTTAGGCTTAACACATGGAGCTACACGGCAAGGAAGGGATACCAACCGTCACAATACTTTTTGTCGGCAATCCAGACAGAGTAAAAAGCCTGGCCGTCTCCTCTCGTAGGCCCAGGTACTGGTGCAGTAGGTGCATTTCTGCACCCTTTGGTGTTCTGAATAGTAGTGCATGCACCAGACAAGCCAGCTGACACGGTGGTACCTTCACAGTCTTCGCATTTATCTGGTTGACGACATTTTACACAGCCCAAAACACACTCTGTAACGGGATGCACAGGAATTTTAGCGGAAGGAAGGATTGATTAAAAGGAAGGGACTTACGGTTGCAGGTAGTTCCATCCCAATATTGGCCCATATTCGAAGCCGCCATTGGACAGCTTTGATCTTGATCGCACACTTGCGGATAGGAAGCATTGCGAGTATTACCTGGCCAGCATACCTCACAATAACCGTCCCCATTTCGGCATTGCTTGCAACCCTGAAAGCATGCTTACAGGAAGAAAGTCCAGCGTTAAATACATTATTTGATCGTGTGGATCTAACTACTAAAGGAGAATGCGGGATGTAACCCTTACCAACGCATTGCCCATTGCTGTCCTTGTAAAAACTATCGGCGCATGATCCGCAGGTAATCCCATCGCTGCCTGTTTTGTATCCCCATTGGCAAGTACAAGTTCCAGCGGAGCTTCCGGTCGTTGTGCATTCTCCTCTGCCACCACAACCGATACACGCTGTAATGATTGCCGCAGGTAAGAGTGAGATGACAAGAAGATCATAGCCAGCTTCCTAAAAACATACCTAAACAGGCGGTCGAATTTGAATAATACCCGGTAGCGCACGTATCGCAAGTACCACCGCCATTTTGCCAGCCCTCATTACAAGTGCATGTACCATTCCCGTGGATACCGTCATTGCAGAATCCGTTTCCACAAGACGGACATGGCTGGCAAGTTGGACCGTAGTAACCTGGACTACATTCTTCACAAGCACTTCCTCGAAAATTGGATGGACACGAGCAGGTGCCACTGGAAGTACAGATGCCTTTTGCAGAGCAGGTCGGGTTGCAATTCACTACAAATGCCAACATTGATTATAACATTGATAATTTGAACAAGTGTATGATAACAAACTTACAGCTGACTACCAAAGCATTCCAATCGGTGATACTTGTCAAATTCGCAGTGGATATATTGACACTTGCAACATCTTCGTAAAAAGCAGCAGCTACCCCCCAATCTTGGTTTTGGTAGAAAAGCGCTGCAATACTGTTTGGCACACGAACAGATCCAAGAGTGTAGTCCTGGGTGTTGGGCGGGGAGTAGTACTGGAACGATGGGAGGGTCAATGCACTGCCTGCATAGGACGCATTAGGATATACAAGCACATCCGTTTGAGCTTTGTGAGCAAGAAAATAAAATTAGCTTCACATGGGGCCCAAGAAACCTCCAAGACTACGTTGTACCTTCCAGGGGAACCACTAGAGTAGCAATTGCCAAGGCGAGAAGAAGGATTCTGGAGGACATGAGGAGAAAGTCAGGGAATAAAGACCGTCCCTTGACGGTCCGATGGCTGTAATCTATTGAACATAGCTGGAAGAAAACCATGCTTCAAAAGGAGGCTTTCTTGCCTCACTTTTACCAGCTGAGCAGAGAGAACCTCGGATTGCAACTGGAATACCACCAGTAGGTCGGGACAAAAGTTCGTCTAGCATTTTAGCCTGTAAATGCGGAACTTGACCAAATCTCTTTTTTTCACCTGTAAATATGGTAAAACCATCCATTCACTTCTTTTTTATTATCATGTATGCTACATGTTCAATATACATGAAAAAAGAAATACTACCAGAACACCCTGCTAGTATCAGAAATCTCAATCATTAGACAAGGCCTTGCACCAGGTTTGCTAGCCAAGTCTGTTTGCCTTATATGTGAACGGTAAGCAACGCGAGTTCATTTGCTTGATCTCAGTGCATGATTGGCTGAAGTCCTCCGTTGTTTCGATCAAAATGAATGATCATATCAGGATGGGATTCGTGTGGTTACCAAGAGCGAGGTCTTTGCTGTCAAGGCAGACAGGAGCCTAGCCTACACACTTTTGAGGGACATCCCTCTCAAGTACATATCTGATTTGTGAACAAGGGCGTGTGCTCTGTCATCAAGACATGTTGTTGGTGGTCAATGGCCATTGGTAAGGGATATATTCCCAAGTCTTGCGAATTTCACTTTCATAGTGCGTCACCTCAGCGATAAGGCACGAGAATGTTCCCTCCGAAGATCAGAAAAATGTCCTGCTCAATATTATTGGGATTCCATTGTGGTGAAGGTTTGCGGGCATGTAGCCCGAAAGTCAAAAGTACCCGCAGTGAATTGACTTCAAACTAGTTGTGAGGCGGCAATTACGGTGAGAGTGGTTATTGGAATACGAGTTTAAACTTTGGTTGAAGCGCTGGCAATAAATTTCATATAATGGACAAACAAACGAAACTCTCTTGGCGATGGGTGGAGGACAGTAGATGACAAGTAGATTGCATTGTAGATTGCAACGGCGGAGTGCTGCTGACTAAGCAGTCTCGGACACCATCCGGACGTGGGAATAAAGTTTGGCCAATGTTATACGCATTCTGAATTGCAGGACATGCCCCCAAAGAAAGCAAAAGTTGGCCCAAAGCCTCGACTTCTCTTCCCTCAACCGTCGAGCCAGCAGTCCAGCTCTGGGTCCTTACAAGAAAACAGTGGAGAGCTGGCGCGAGATAGCCCAGAGTAAGCGATTATTTTTGACTGCCCATTCCAGCGTACTTATCGGTTGAAAAGTGAGGATATGGCGAATATTTTGGCGGCCATCAAGAGTGGGTAGGAAAGAATGTCGTGATAAAGGCCAAAAATACTGATGTTCAAGCTTGAAGATCGAATGAGAAAAAAGGCTGCGGACCGCGAAAAGAAACTGCACTCCGAATGCGATCGACTCTGTCAAAAGATCCGGGATTCAACTCACGAGCATGTATCCAAACAGGAGCAGGCTATGTAAAGCAGTCGATCATGTTCATCGTGTTGATGAGAGTTATAACAGTTCTATGTGCAGCGAGGCTCTAATGACGGAACATGAACAACACATGGAGGATTTAATGGAAGAGAGAGTAAACATTATTCAAAAGTTGAAGAATGAAACCGAGAAGTTCAAGGTAGTAAACGTACCCGCTCGCCCTCAGTACTGGGACATGCTCAAAACAGACTTTGTGCAGCAAATGCGGGAGATCTTTTTGCAAGAGTACTTGTCTGCTGCTCGAATCCAGCGCGAGGCTGACCAGCAGCTGATCGATGATGTCTCCAGGATGTCAAAACGTGAGTCCTGCATGGACCTCCAAAGCGAACCTTACCAAAACGTTCCCTTCTAGCTTTGGTGGATGCACAGGCAGCCGACTCAGGTCAGGGAAATGGTGAGGTGGAGGAAGTGACCAAACCCACCCAACCAGTATCAAGATCGAAGAGGAAACGTACATCAGACGCGCAGGTGAGGTACCATGATCCATCCGATTCCACATGTATTCTTATCATATTTGTGAAGGTCCGGCGACCGAAAGGTAAACACAAGGCGTTTGCTCGCTGACGACAGGATTTAGTGAATCTTCTACCTATTAATTGTTCCTATAAACTGGGCTATTCTGATACTGTTAGCTGTATGTATTCGTTAGATAGTAGATGGTCTCTGCATGATGGCTATTTGAGTAATCCTATCTAATACACTACATATGCCTTTCCAACTTAGCGCAGTTTCTAGCCTAATTCACCGCTCACAATTGCTGGAAACATGAGTGGACGATTGGCCCCTTCAATGTTACTAGCCTGCTTCGACCGCATCAATGCTAATGATGACGAGAGCGATAATGAAATACTAGGATCTGACAAGGTACGGGTCTGAAGGTCAAGACATTTCTTCCTCGCAGGATGGTGCGGTAAGGCCTGTTTTACTCTGAACCTATACTTTTCCGACGGGTGCACTAGCGTTGGCAAGGAAATGCTAAAGGGCAATGACAAATGAGGCTCGCTGCTTCCTTTTGTCAGTTGCTTGCTGTGCGATTGACCAAAGGGTACGATCAGCGGGCTTGAGCTGTAGTCGGACAATGAAGGGTTGGATAAGGCGAGGCCTGGCAACCGCGTTGAACCAAAGTCGCAATGCACATGCTTTCCCTGTGCCTGAAATTCCGCATCCATAGTTTTCCACATTGTTTGCTTTATGTTATAACGAGATTAGGAGAAATCGTCAAGCGTGGATTGTCAAGTTGAGTCTTCCTTACCTGTAAGCCAATGTTGCCATTCCCTGCCAGCAGGGAATGACGATGGCGAGGTTTTGGCGGTATCATTCTCTTGTTATGGGGTTGAGGTTCATAGAGTTCTTTGGAAGCATGTCGCGCCCTTCCTTTTGTATCCGACCGTCGTCGTCCCAGGTATTGCTTCATCAAAGGGGGAAAAATCTTTTTCAACTCCTTCATGGTAAGGGCGGCCACGTTTCTTTGGTGTCGCCATTGGGCTGTGGCGGGGTCTGTCAATATTTCGGGAGATTCGACGGCGGGGGCAAGTGCACCTGCTTCTGCACTTGGGGGACGAACCTCTTCGACAGGTTCCGTTTGCTGTGGAGGCTCAGGGCAGGGACTTTCCGTTGCCCGTTCTTCCGGTAGATCGAGCATTGTTTGGTTGAGTGGTTCGGCATATGGATCAGGTAGAACTGGTCGACAAGGTTCACCCGTGGATGATACGTTATCGTCACTGTCGGATGGTATGCCATCATCTTCTTTTTCCGTCCCATCGGGGAGAAGGATTGGATGGACAAAATTGAGACGGAGAGGCAAGTTTGTGTCAAACAGGTAGCCATCTTTATAGGTAGGTTCGGCCGGGCGAGTTCGAGATTTCCGTGTAATCTTGCCTCGCTCGTCAACCTCAGGACGTAGATGCATTCGTTTGTCTTTCTTAACTTTCCAAGTGGATGTGGTAGTATACCCGTGTCGCGCGAGAGGGTGGAGTGGCTCCTCTGTTACTACGGACGTTGAATGTGAAATAGAATTGCTTTGAACAACTGGGAGAGCTTTTGAATGTACTTCGCCAGGTTGGTCGAATGCGACATTGGCCTTGGCAGGAGTGTGCAGCTGCTGGCGATATGCATCATCACGACGTGCGCGACCTAAACGACGAGCCTGGGCTTGATGGAAGGCGGAAAAAACGTCCTGGCCTACTTCTGTCCATCCCACTAAATCCCCTTGTATCAAGTCATTGTCGATGATGGAGTCGAGGACGCCTGACTGTGTAATTGGCATGGTGGACTGGAATTGCTGGGAGTCCGAGGTGGTACTTTCCTCGGCAGACGGCAGGTCCTCAACAAGGTGCTCCCCGGGAGTATCTATTGTTTGTGGCTGCTGGTCTTGATCGTTGTTTGAAGGAGTTTGCTCTGTAACGTGCGGCTCGAGGGTATTAGCGACTGATATTGGTTCCTGCAACGCCTCTTGGGCGGACAGCGGCGAATCTTCATCTTTAACATTACACCCATTAATGACCAAACCAAACGCCTGTTCTCGTCTCCTTTGCATGTCATCTTTAGGCTTTGAGCATTTCGTAAAAGGATGCCCTCCAGTTGATATTTTCTCCGATTTACTCTCAGTACTATCTTTGAAATTATCGGAATGTGCCGTCGCGTACAGTCCAAACTCTGCAACTGCCCCGTCCTCTTCCTCAGATGTCTCAGAAAATCCATCCTCATTCACGGTGTTGAATGACAACTTCCTCGTGGTGGATGCTGGAATCTCTACTAATCGAATCCCATCTCTCGAAAACGTTCCAGAGAGAACACGGGAAGTACAGGAGCGAGCATAAGGAGTCGGATCACTCTGTATGCGGCCACAACTATGCTGTTCATGTGCATTGTTATCTTGCTTCTTGGATACTTTTGGAGTGTCATCCTCTCGAGGTGTTCGACGTTGTAGAATTTCTTCATAGCTCCGGTCGACGACCTTTGTCGGTATTCCTCGGGATCCTACTTTCATTCCTTCAACGGAAACAAAGTTGTCGTCCCAGCTAGGTCTATTTTCCTTCTTTCGGGTTGATAGTGTAACTGGAGTCTGTGGTGGCGATAAAATTGTTTGACATGGAGGAACTTTTGGCGGAAGAAGGATGGTCGAAAGTTGGGCTGTCAAATGAAGAGTAGTGAGTGGGCGACCACCGGGTGGGAGTGGATGAAACGGGATGGGGGAAGTACGAGGTCGAAGTCGTTGCTTGTCGTTATTCCATGGTGTTTCCCCAGTTACCAAAGGTTGTAGAAACTGTGTGGAAGCCTGGCTTGATTCTGATGGTTTTGACTCTCCGTCAGAGTTACTGGAGACTGGATATGATATGTCAACGGCACTATCCCGTTTAGGGGTTGCCTCGTCGTCCATGTCTGGCACAAGTGGAAAGATAGCCTGTGGTATTTAAGATCCTTTTGTTAAAACAACCAGTTATTCATTCATCACTTTACATCAAAACAATTAACGAAGCGTGGCCATGACTACTTACAAGGGCAGCAACTAAAAATATAGCCAATTTCAAAGTAACTTCTGAATCATAATAATACAGGGTCACATCTTAAAATCTCCGATTCCTTAACGGTTGCCATTGGGTCAGGGCATGACGAGATGGTCGATTTGCTTCGATTCGGACTTGGTAAAACATCTTTTTCTAACCGATCTCTCTCTGGAAGGTGTGAATGGAAATAAAGAAAGAAGATAACCGACAAAGGAAATTCTTTATAACAAGTGGAGAGCGATGCTTCCTATTCTTTCGAACCCCGACCCATCCTCCCTCCGTCCACGTTCCACGAAGCCAAAGGAACCTGGCAGCCGTTCAGCAAATAATGTTGATGCGTTGATATCTGATATCCACCCTCTGCCTAAACTTCCTCACGAAATCTGGCTCCAAATACTAGCGTTTCTCGGTCCAGGCGCTCTCACAAAACTTCGCAGTGCAGACAGAGGGTGGCGAAAGCGAGCCGATGATGCGTCCCTTTGGCGTGCACTCTGTCTTGCTCAAGATGTAGAACCCGATAAGCTTATCCGATATCATCGCAAAGACAAAGAAGAGTGTGATGGATCGCGTACTGAAAGAGATTCGGTCGAAAGGTATACTGCTGCAAAATATAACACCAATGTTGCATCTAAATTGGGTTGGTTATTTAATTGACTAGAAGAGATGACGACCAGATTGACTGGAAGAGTACTTTCATCGCTCACTATCGTCGCGAAAAGGAACGATCGCGCAGATTCTGGGCAGGACATGAATGCTTGGCACTTCAGCAAATGTTGGGAGCGGTCACATCACCAAGAGGGATACCTGATGGGCTATTGCCTGTTAGAAGACTAGTACCTGTTCCAGTGGTGCCATGTGAGCAATGCGAGGCGGAAAAGGTGCTTATGCACCAGCTGGGATTTTGGAACCCTGGTAAGGCAACGAACGGTAAACTCGAGATCTGTACGACTACCTAATCATAGCTGCACCGACAGACGTACCGTACACATCCGAAGGCTCCTGGTCCTCCGTTGCGACCGTCTACACCGGAGGGTCTAGCACGTCCGACGCCTTGAGGGCCGCGGTGGTCCAGCCACCATTGTCTCGACGTCTGTCACGGGCATCCGTTATCCTGCATACACTAACATCAGGATGCGACCTTGCCAACGGCCTAAAAGACTTTGTACCCCGCATGCAGGTTGTTAATGATGTGGTTGTGAGACGAGGCTCGGGCGGACATGGCGTTATTGTCTTGCCAAGTGCGAGTGGTCTGGAAACAGAGGAAATCCTTGAAGGGATACTGCGGTTGCCTAGCTTTAGAAATTAGGAGTTAGAAATTGTTTGCTGGTGTAGGTAGGCGTTTATTGCATTGAGCGAATAGAATGATCTCTGCATAATAAAAAAGGAGCAACAATCTGCAATGGGCTTATACAATGAACATTCGGAGGTGGATAGTTTTATTACAGTATGGATATCCTTTCCTTTTCAGCAAGCCTCACGAGCGAACACGAGCCTGCTCCATATAATGTCGAACTACAATTTGTACGTAGTTTACCGATACACACTATGTACACTGGACCAGGGCACTGTCGTCCACTTTCCATGACCTGCTATCAAGTCTATTAGGCGAGAGTTGATAGCCCTAGAACGGATGCCTCTCGCATACCTCGCACTACCCCATCACCGGGCCTTGATATCGACCATCTTGGTTACATTGACTGACACTCGACATAGGTCCATTGGTATAGTGTGCATGTCATCATGTGCCGGTCCTCCGACAAGGGCATTTAAGCCATTAAAATTCCCGATGACTTGGTCATGTTTGGACTTGACACCGTCACGGTCATCTCCCTGTAACGTCTGCTCGATCCCCGCCAGAAAGGAGGCAATGACTGCCCTTGGTCGTACAGGTATTGGGCAATAAATGAGTTTATCATCGGTGTTTCGCGGTTGCTTGGCATTGTCGGATGATGATCTGCGAGGAATTGCCTTCATTCCGATCGTTGCAACAGACATGAGGTTTTGCGCTGGCAGAACAATTGCGTCTGACACAAAGGCGTACGGTATGAATATTCACTGACGAAAAAATAACCCATATCTATAATGCCGTGGTAGCGGCTCCACTTTGAAAGGTCCCGAACCACCAAGGTATATTTAGCAGCATGCCAAAAAACTCCGAGCATTTCCATGTGATTCTCATGATAACAGATACCTTTCTTAGCAGATATTCTCCAGCTTATATTCAAATATATGGACTGGTCTGCCGAAAGGATCTGGATGGAGGTTTGCTGGACAGGTGAAATGGGGATGTGCTTTGACTATGATTATCCTTGAGAACTTGACAGCTCTCCAGTCAAAAAACACAAAACTATCGACAATTCCCGCGAATATATAAATTGAGATTAAATAGTAAAAGTATATACAGTTCAAGTCCGACTACCAAATAGCATATATGTACATCGCCTTCTTCAAGCCCGCCTTCCGATTAGCATCATCGTCCCCTAAAACAATCCCTTCCTCGGGCAATATCTTCCACGCCGCATCAACCAAGCACGTCTTAATGGCCCTTGCAATGTATTCAGCCTGCTTGCCTCCCTTAAGCCAGGACCCAGAAACCTTGACTTTACCAATCACGACGACGGTGGTTTCGCCATCACGTTTGGCAATTTTCTTGTAATCGTTCGTTATGCCAATGCGGAGCTTTTTTCCTGCCTCTTTACGAGCTGCAAGTTGTTCCAGCCAGATATATATCTGTGCACGGAGCTCGCTAAAGTCTTTATGGCCGAAAACATAGTCGGTGTTTGGCAAGATTGGTGATGAACGGAAAGTAAGCGCTGGGAACGAGGTTGTTGTTTGAAGACCCTGGATGGCGGAAGGTTGGGGAATGTTTGTAATGCTGACAGAATACCAGCTCATTTTGTTCGCAATGTATCTAAAAAGGGCAGCTAGATCAAATGACGTCCTGTCTTCCCTTTGCCATTCTTATATAGCTGTATTGGAGGACCTTTTTTTTTCCTAGTAAAAAAGCAAAGTGTGTGCCCAGTGCACTTGGTGCTGAGATATGCTTTTTCTTTGCCAAAAGGCAAGTTCCAGCCTGTAAGGTTGATCACTCCGTACGGTCAAGATCCAAATTTAGCACACCAGAGCAAGCGTGACAATCACGCGGAACAATGAACGGTTCGAAAAATGAAATATTTAACCAATGTGTAGTCTATGAAATATAAATACTCCCGCTCTCTCCCATAATATCGCGATCGGGTGGATCGCCAGTTACCAGTATCCCATGCGTCGCTGCACGTCGCTGCAGACCCAGTCCGTTTAGACATCTACTAATCCTTTCCAAGCTTGAACCAACACATCCACTTGCTCAGGTTTCCTCACAGCGGCCCTCACACAAGTGTCACACGCGTACCCATGCACACCAGCACGTACGGGGACGCCTGCCCGCTTGGCAAGGGTAACGGCATCGGCTGCTACCCGCGCGTCTTTCATGTCAATCCACACCCACGAGAGGAAAGGTTTGCCATGGATTTCCCACTGTCCATTGCAAAGCTCTTCCAGACGCTCCACCAAACTTGCGCGCCATTCGCTTGTCACAGCCCAAGTCTCATCCAGATAATCCTTCTCTTCATCCGACGTGACAACTTCCAAGAACTTCAATGCAGGAAGATTTACAGACCAAGGAACTTGGACTTTTTTAAGCTTGATACAGTGATCAACAGTAGGACATACAACTGATCCTAGCCGAAGACCGGTGCAAGACCACAGCTTTGTCCATGAGTGCATGATAAAGACTGCAATTCCACGAGTGTTGAACATATTTTTCAGCCATTCAGATTGTGAAATAAGGGAATCATGGCGGAATTCAGGTGAGTGCCAAGGCTGCATGGATTCATCTACAAAAGTACTTTGAGCATATAGTCACACAGGGCCCGCGCTCGTGAAGTAGGTGTACTCACCAACCATCACCACAGTGTTGTCTGCGACGGTTGTTTCAATGTAGGATTTAAGCTCTTCAATGGGCATGTAATCTCCAGTAGGATTGTTGGGGTTAACGATGCAGGTAAGTGCTGCCGATGTTGGATGGTCAGGTCTAAGAACCGTCCGACCGAGAGCGATTGCCGAGCGTTCATATTCTTTGTACTAGGAGAAAAGTTCAATGAGTGAGCTCGTCAGAGTGAAGAGTGCATATAAGAGGGAAAGGGTAGACCCTCTTCTCGCATATGTAGTAGTAGGCACTCTTGTGAACACACCTGAATCTTCCACGGTCCTGGCTTCCACGGTCCCTCAGGCGCCGCTCGGGTGACAAGATCTATAAGTTCCGACGCTCCGTTTCCAAGTAGCAATCGAGAGTGCACATCTTGATAGTCTTCCGGCCACAAAAAGTTTGCCAAGTATGTCTTTGCAGGCTCTTGGTCCGCTGGCGGGTAGTGGTGGCACACTTCAAGCTAAATGCAAAAATGAAAGAGTCAACAAACTGTGGATGCTCTTTCTTGGCACCCTGAAAGACATACCGCATCTCTAGCAGCCTGCAGGGCCTTTCTTGGAGTTCCTAGACCATTGGTCGTAACACTGAAATCTTCGATAAAGTTGTCTAAAAACTGCCACTCTTGACCGCCGTGGTATTGTTGAGTTTTCGTGTCCCACAGAGTCTTTGTAGAGGTACCGTTCGTAACCTCTTTCTTGGTGCCGTTGGCGGTCACATTTGGTATAGGGGTGAGCATATTGGACTGAGTAAATGTGCGTTGGCAAGAGGATCTCGACAAGGACAAAAGAAGAAACTCGCAAGCGTCCCAAAAGCGACGCAAGTCCGTCGTGTGGCACAGCGTGGCGTAGTCAAAGAGCCGTCAAACGGATAAAAAATTGGGAAAATGCCATCAATTGGGGGGCTTTTAGGAATTTAGCCCAAAGGTTTTTATGAAGGAGATCTGTAGAGGAAAGAACGATGGAGAAGAGTAGGTTTTCATGCATTGTCGTTAAGCATCTTTAGCGATAACTATTTGCGGGACTCGGCATGTCCGTCTCCTTGTGTGCGTGTGGACAATGTCGAGAATGAACCAAAAAGGCCATGGATGGTGGACTCTGATGGACAAAGAGCTGCTTTCTTTGTGCTCAACTGGCCATGATGAACAATCACCACCGGCCGACAACACAAACGGTCAGTCTTACCATGTGGATGCCATCATTTGATTCCACTCATGATTGCTTTTGATCAACTTTCCATGGCGTTTTTAACACCAAGACTCATATTGGTTGTTGTCTGGCAAAAAAGATCAAAAAGAAAGAAGAAAAATGCCGCAAGCCAAAATACTTTGCTGTGTTTGCCTTTTGGCTTTCAAAACAACTAAAGTAAAAAGTAAAGAAAAGTTAAGGCCGCTTTAGATGTTTCAAACTAGTTAATTCCCTAATTATTCCCAAATTGATTATGATTCGTTCATTAGCTCTCGCACCACTCCCCGTTCGAGAGTGTTCAAAAACGTAAGTGTGAAATTGAACACTTTCCACATGGAAAAAATAAAAGCAACTTGTAATTCCTTCTCGCAAAAGATGCTACACACACCTGCTGTTTATTCCCTTTTCTCCACCTTACATTTTTTTCCAAATTACTAGCAGTTGCACAACTTTTCCGCTCTTGTCTTTCTACATCTTTTTCGTAGGCAAAAGATATGACAGAGTTATTAATCTCGCTCCTGAGCTGCCCCCCCGCTCATGTCAGCTCAGCTAAACATCTCCCCAATCGACTCTCTGCGCTTCCCTTAGATGCACATATCGCGGCTGCTCCCGGTTCTTCTGGTTGCTCTTGCAACGACCGCGAACTCGGCGCCGATAGCTGAAAATGTCGCTGCCATCCCACTAACGGAATCTTTTCGTTATTCGGCTCCGGGTTCAACCAAACCAGTAGTCAATAAGGTCATTGACCTAGGTTCAAAAGCCACAAGGAGCAAGGAGCCGAAACACGACAGCCAGCAAACAACCACCAAGAAATCAACCAACACGCAGTCGACAAAGCACGAGGAACAGCCAACCATCACAAATTTCTTTCCTGTCTTCCCCACAGCTGTCGCTAGAACGCCTACTGTTCCTACCGTCATTAGCAAGCCCTCCGCGAACCCGACTACGGTCAACATTCCTATACGCTACCCGATAGTGACGGTTGGCCGCCCCATTACAGTGGACGTCCCAACGATTCTCCCCATTACCGTCAGCGTCCCGACCGTTGCTCCCATAACACTGAGCGTCCCCACTGTTGCCCCTATCACAGTGAGCGTTCCAACTGTTGCCCCAATCACAGTGAGCGTTCCAACTGTTGCCCCAATCACAGTGAGCGTTCCAACTGTTGCCCCAATCACAGTGAGCGTTCCAACTGTTGGCCCAATCACAGTAAACGTCCCGACCGTTACACCAATCACAGTGAGCGTTCCAACTGTTTCCCCCATTACAGTGAGTGTTCCCTCAGTATCCGTTAGCCTTCCACCCATCCCCACTATTTCACCAGTAATTCCGTCGCAACGCCCGGAAACGACCATTGTCCCTACTCCACAGCCGACACCAACAGAAGATCCCGCTCCACCACAGCCAACAAATAATCCGCCAGCCCCCACACCGGACCCAACCCAACAGCCTCCTCCACCTCCTCCTCCCGCACCACGGCCGACAGAGCAACCAGCTCCCAATCCAAATGATGTGCCATTCCCCGCCCCTTCTAACCCAAACCCAGCACCACCACCCCAGGCTCCGCCCGGCAATCCCAACGAGCCGCCCTTTTTCCGTCCAATTGATTTGCCGAACCCTCCAAATGACGTTCCTTTCGTCGCTGGCGGCATTGACATTCTCTCGCAAGATGAACTCAATATTCAGACAAGGGAACAAACTCGTACGGCTACTACCTCCGCAGAAGCCATTCAAGCCGGCGTTTCAACTTCCGCGGCATCTAAAGCCAATGGGAAGCAGATGACATGCTTCGTCCTGGGTATTTTGAGTGTTGGGCTGATGTGGATCTAGAGAACAGAACAAAAGCAGTATGATACCTTCATAGATAGCTGATAGATTAGATCTCTTTTTTTCAAAATACATAGTCATGCATTGATTTATGTTTATGTTTGTGAATTGTGTTTATGATCATGTCTCATTTCTGGGTTTCGCATGGGTATGTTCAATTACGTTTCCAGCTGAGGTATGATTGTCCTCAGAAACACCATAGCATTTTTGCTTTACAACATTATCTTGTGGAATATTTGACGCTTTGAACATATCAAGGCTGTACCAACCATTTTTATCAACCTCTGCAGAAGGCATATCGACAGGGACATAGAGCATTTTCGCTAACGACCAACGGCTTTTCAATGCCAAGCCACCAAAGCATCCCATCTGTAGTCCTCTAAGGTATGAGATCTAGTCTGCCTGTGGAGGTAGATGTTTTACCGAAATGTTTGCCATCGGAGCTGTAGGCGTAAATAGAGATGTTGAGCTATCTAACGCATAGGGAATAGTCCTAGTATAAAACCTGTTTGAACAACGTTTACCACTTGACAGCATCGTAGAGCCCATAGGGATATCTTCTTGGGTCATTTGGTGTGTGGTACATACCCGTCATGGTGTCTCCCAATGAAAACATCTCACATCGAGACTCCTTATTGCCATGTCAATGTCGTCAACTTTTTATAACCGCTCTTCATCAATAACTTGGCGTATGGTCTGCAGCATGTCATTCCTGCGTTCCGGCATTGGGCAGCCATGAACAAAATAAATGCAAAGCCTACAACGAAATCTCTTATTTATTCAAATCTACTCTATTCTTCCCCCCATTTGAAATCAAGTAAAATAAAAGTAATATTGTCCGATCCTTTAACCTACGAATAAAAACATCAGCAATTGTCTGTTGAATAGATAAAAAAAGTTGCCAGTTTTACCTGTCCTAAAGTTTTAACAAAATCATCACAAATCTGTTGAGGGGATTTGCCTTTATTCCTCATTTCCGCAATCTAGCGAAACTGTGTGAGTTGGTATTCTCAACTTGAGGAGACAGGGGAATGTTTACCATGGGTATAAGTTGGAACTCGTCGAGATGGTTCCAGAGTCCGTCAGAGGCGATAATACAAAAATCGTCGGCGGGGGACAAGGTTGTTTGCGTAATGTGAGGAACCTTTATCAATGCAATTAGAAAAAGATGATTGACGGGAGAGGATAGACTGGCGAGATATCCTTACCGGAGAAATCCAATCTGCACTTGCACCATTGGTAGGCAACTTAAAATCAAAATCCCCCAACGCTCGCGTCATGTTAATAGCATGACCCGGTCCAACAACTCTATCCCTCTTTACTTTGGCGCTCGCCTCATCCAACCTCGCTGCCTCAGCCTCATCATCCACCTTGTGTTCCTTGCTCAATCTCACAGCATGATAATTCCCTGTTCCATCCTGTCGCGCCAAATACAGCTGTCGAATCTCCGACATTGGCAACAAACAACTGGTTTTGGGCTATGAGCGCCACGGTAGCGGTTGTACCTCCCCGTCCCTCTGCACCCAACTCTTCCGCAAGACGTTTATCTTCTGCCAGGAACGCTTCTTGGAGTGACCGATCGTATACCCCAGTTTTGAATGCCTCGGAATTGACAATGATTTTTGGAAGGTTCTGCGCCGCATGTTTAGATGCCGCCCCTCCACCATGTCCATCAAACACAGAATAGAGTGCGAAGCCGCTCTTGTCAAATGTTTCGTCTGCGATGGCAAAGTTGTCTTCTTGGTAGGGACGTGAACCTTGCGCGCGTGCAACGCCCTTTGTTATGCAGGAAATCATTGAATAAACGATATGAGTAAATCCTTCTTTTTGGCTGTGTTTGGCTTTTTTTGTGATGGGTGCATACCTGGCGAGTTCATTCAAACTTAAGAGCTTGCGAAGGCGGAGATGCTTGTCGCTGATGTCATTTCCTCATCATGCAGTCACGTGGTTAGCGTGTCGGTCACGGGATGAGGCTCCGAACTTCCTTCCGTTGCCGAGTGTATGGGGATGGACGTTTTGAAGCAGGTGGAAAGAGGTCTTGACAAGCTTTTTTAAACGCATTAGCACCATGATTACTGCGTATTGATTTACCTTTAATAAACTCATAGCATTAGTAAAATGACTATGGATCCGTTATCAAAAGTACTCTGATCGGATGAAGCGCTGTCGTGCGGTCGCGCCAAAAGAGCAGTATTGCCCTCTGGTGTATTTTGCTTTTCCTATGCCTGGGTCAAGTTACATGCCTTCTTTGCAATTTGAATGGCGTGATACTAGAGGTTTGGCCAAAAATGTTGTTCGGATGCGATACAATTTCCAAGAATTGATTGTACATTCACGGAGCGGTGCATGCGGTCTTGATGTCAAGATCGTTCGCCAACTTTAGATCTATCTTGATTTCTTCAGCTCCTGACATGGGATGTGTAGCTGATAATAAAATATACGTTGGGTAATGAAGAAATCTAAATATTATAGGACCGATTGAACTATTTCATCGTAAATGTGAAGAAATCCTATCTTTTCCAGATTCAGTGTACCTAAAGATTGTGATGAAGAGGTTTATGGTCAATTTCGATAATATTTGCCATCAGCAAGCCGATGCGAGGAATTGAGCCGGAGAAATAACGTTGACAGCCAAGGGACATTGTCGATAATGTAATGATGAACTTTCACGGTAGTTCTGGTTCCGAATATTCATCGACAAAGACTGCACGTTAGAGTCTGTGCTGTTTTCCTCCAAGCTAGGCAGGCAGAGGTCATGCTACACTATCCAAGGCGTCTTTCATTGCCGCGAATCAGTCCCTCTCGATACGCTCCGCCATCCATCACTTGCAAGCAAAAGATTGAACCTCAGGAGATCGTCAATGAGCGGTACAAAGGACGCTGCGGGATATCCACCACACAGAAGATTGTGAAATAGCAGATTGTAACAGTCCCCAACGCTTGCAAAGGAATCCGGCTCATGGAGAACAGAATTACATCCCGTCGGTTCGTCCACCTGTCCAGTTGACCACAATGCATCGAGAACCTTGCAGTAGACTATCCCTATCCTTGGGCAGAAACAAGTACTGAACTTTGCTGTCTATGCAAACGATATTTGTTCTTCATCTCGTTGGGGGAGGACCGTGGGAAAATCAAGATAAACAAATGACTCGCTTCACGCGTTTACATAATCTGAACTTACGCGCCATGCGAGGGGAACGAACGCACGCCAGGAGGTCTGCCAGGAGGTGGAAACGACGACGATGATTGGGCGTTCATGGCGTGCTCAAAAGAATGACGTACGCAGGATACGCAATCTTCCGCCGACGAATTCCGAAATTGCAAAAAAAAAAGCGCAGTCCCCCAGGGTTATAAAAAGGCACCCTCTCTCGCATCCCCCCCACTCTCTCTTCACTCGCCTTGGGATGGCGTAAAACTCGAGCCCGCCCTGGGAACTTGGCGCTAAACTCAACTCGGTCGAAAAGTCATAACCGGATAACTTTAAAGGCCGTTGCAGTAATGCAACGTACTAACCTCTTTGAGGTGGGCGCCTGGGACTGATCGTTTGCGCGCGCCAGAAATGGAAGGAGCAACGACTGCCGGAGCCTTCGGGTGATGATGGCATCCTCTTCGGGGGAAGGGCCTGCGATAAAGGATGAAATCGGATGAAAAATATGATATATGTTGACAAACTAGAGAAACCGGCGCGGTATTTCCCGTGCAGACTTTGGATCCACAGCCGCTTTGATGCTCACAAATAGCCTTTGCAAACAAGAACGTTTTGCCAATGTCTTTTCCTTTGGAAGAGCCTTTGATCAGCGAGGGAAGACGAACCTGCTGGCTGGGATTTATCTTTTGATGTCCAAACTTTTTATCCATGCATTGAAACGGCATCCGGAGATATTTCTTTCACTTGTCGCCGCAGTCCAGTGCGTGCACGTAAGATAGGGATGTTTATGCCAAACCAATCTGCCTGACGGCGGGGGATTAACTGCGGAATCAAGCATTGCGACTATTTGCGGACTCCCAGATTACTTCCAATAGACATGGCTTATTTCTTAGGCTATTTTTAAAGGTTTTTGTTTGAATCGTATCATGGTAATGGACTGATGAATGCCAGATGGACTGGCTGTTTTGAATCTGCAATGAAAACTCTGTCGGCATACACCAGAACAAATCCACTGTCCCATGCGCTCTTGTATAAACATGATTCACACACAGCTTTATCTAGTTCGGAACTGTTATCAACTGTCTCTCCCGACCCTTATTTGACCCATGGGGCATTTGTATATTCTGCGCGATCGAATGTTGGTGCACACGCGGGCCCATTGGAAACCCTCAGGGTAATGACGGTAAATCTAACACTCAGAGACATAAAGTATGGTAAGCCTGCTCCTTTCTGCAGTCAGTCCAGTCTACTTTTTTCTTGTTGCGATCACCGTCAATTATTGCGCTGCATTAGACCGCCTTTCAAGCCCCCGCACGTCACCATGTCTTATCTGGACACGACTAATCCAGACTTTTTCAAGCGACAGCGCAAAAAGCTGGTTATTGTCGGGGACGGAGCTTGTGGCAAGACCTCTCTACTCATGGTGCAATCCGGCCAAGAGTTCCCTACCGAATACGTCCCGACCATTTTCGAAAACTTTATCACTCAGATCCACGCGGCCAAGAATAAAGTATACGAAATGAGCTTGTGGGACACTGCTGGACAAGAGGAATATGATCGATTGCGACCATTGAGCTACCCTGATACCGATGTCGTTTTGTTGTGCTTTTCATTGATTCACCGCGAAGGGTTTGAAAACATCCGGGACAAGGTAAATGATCCCATCTTTTTGGGGTTTTCCAATGGAAACCTCTCTACGGTGGCTCATCACTCTTTTCTTCCATCATCATACAGTGGTACCCAGAAACAAACCACTTTCTGCATGACGTTCCCCGAATCCTCGTCGGCAACCAAAAAGACCTGCGAGATAATGCCACAGACGAAGAACGCGCCGCCTTTGCCCGACGATTCGGGTGGCCGGAAATGCAGCGACCCATTACTTACGAAGAAGGTGTCAAACTAGCACACGAAATCGGCGCTGCGAAATACTTTGAGACGTCTGCAAAGACAAAGGAAGGCATATACGAACTTTTTGTTGGGGCAGGAAAGGTGGCTTACAAACCAAAGAGACGGGTTCGACAATGTTATTTCCTTTAGCTGGTTATTTTCAACGCAGCGCCCCGCTTCAAAGGTTGAAAGATATTATATAATATATATTGCATGTAAGAACACAAGTCGGACCATTAACAGAGGTTTTGAGAGTTTTGTAACATGCTCCAGAGCCCATACACTGCCCAGACCAATGATTGAAGAGAGCTGGCGGGATCGTTGTATTCGAGATGGCCTATACCTTCAATAGTGTAGAGGTGACAGAAAATGGCACTAGCTACTACACCAGGGAATAAACCAGCGACAACTGGTTCGGAAAAGCCAAGTAATTCCCTCCTTACCAACCAACTACCACTAGGCCCAATTACACATGCAATACATTACGGTTGTTCTAACCGGGTAACTAATCCGCGTGGGAAAATACAAAGATAATGCATACCTGCGATCGTTGCAGTATAGTAGTAGCAGCGTTTGCAAGGGGTTATGTTGTTGTTGTAGTCGGGAGGGCGAGGTCCTCGGCACCAGAGCGGCATTCTCATGATGGACTTGAGAGTGTTGCTTGAACGTTGGGCAGATGCTTCGAGAGTCGAGAGATAAAGAAACAAGAGGGAAGAGGGAGCAGGTCCCCTTGTATAGACCTTCGGCATGCGCCTCACCGCAGTTTAAAAAAAAAAAAAAAACATTACATGCATGCCACACCAATCTGAGCAATAGATGGGGGTTCTGATTATGCGATATGATTAACCATTTTCAATCACCTTCAATATGCACGGTGTGGGGAGCAACAAGTTTATCGGGCTCGACCAGCAAATCCATAAATGTTTGACCGAAGATGTAGGGGGTGTGAGGGTGCTTGCAGCTTACAATGTACCTGACCTCAAACCAAGAGTAGAACTTGGACATTCCTAGAAGGTTGGACAGTCACCATGTAAATATTTGAATATCTCCCTTTATGGTTTGTTAATCTGGGTCATGTATCCTCTGCAATTGTAAAAAAGCATATAAAATACCAATATGCAGCTCACACCAGAACGCCACAGGCAGGCTTGACCCCAGGAAAATCAACTGAAAAGCTTCCTTCAGATAGTTTGTGGTAATTGATGATCAGCAAGCATCTTCAAATGATCCGCCTGTGACTTACTCTATCGTGTCCGGATTGACCAACAATGACCACCGAACATCATCCCGAAACACCTACCATCCAGCAACCAGTGGTTGGTTGGACAGATACGATCTTTCTTCCTTTTGACATCGACTATAGTTCCCATAAGAAACAATTAGCCGAAATTGCAGAAGCGGCCAAAGTCATGATGGGCTACGATGCAAAAGAAGACGTTTTGAGAGTTACAGGGGATACAGAGCATGAGATACGTGACTGGTAAGAAAATGCTGCCCACAGCCCGAAAAATCCAGCGTAATCCGAGTTTGTTTATTGGAACTAAAAGAAGCCACTGCGTTCTATTCATGATATTCGTTAGTCGAGACCGTATGAACGCCTTTTTCCATCATCGACAGAATTCCAAACAGCGCAAACGGGACAAACCATTGCTCAACAAAGGTCAGCATCCTGGACATTGGGGTCAGCCGCGAGAAATGCTTGCAGCGGAGGGTCTTTACAAGGTTTTTGGAAACAACGCTTGAGAGGCAGGACAGTACTGAAATGGAAATATCGTAGCTTCATGTGTGTTGCATCGAAAGGCTCTTGCATTGTTTGTATTCGTTTAGCAATGTCTGTGTGTATAGTTTGTAACGATATTACAGCTTGATCACCCTCCGACGTTCAGATTTCATTGCGGCGTTACATCCATCGTAAATATACATTTGTACACCTGGTCAAATCTCAAAAGCATTCTCAGAAGACTATTTTCGTTTGTCTTGCTCTTCTTTTACTTGTTGATCGACATCCTTGCCAGGCCACATGGGTACAAGTCGTGAGGTTGTCTTTTGGTAAATCTGTTTGCAACGCATCAACTTTTTACTTGGGTCTCCCATTTAGCATCGCGCGTCCGTGAGCAATTTACCTGGTATGTCGGATATTTCTTAGCAGATATGCCCTCTGTAAATGATGTGCTCCCTTGAAAGAGCAGCGTCAACATAATCGGTCCAATAATCGTCCAATTTACGATGTTGCTCCATGTAAGATCTATCAAGCCGTTCGACTTGGGTATCGTCGCCGCGACAGAAAATCCGTAAATGCACCACCAGATCATTATCTCGCAAAAAAAGTTTGGATGCCGAGAATATCTGAATAATCCGGTCGTCAGATATCCTCGGGCATAAACTTGTGGGAGACCAAGGTTGTCTGTGGACGCATCCTTGTCGCCCATTTGTGCTTTTCGAATCAATTGGTGTTTCTTTGTCTGGTAAGCGAATTGCTGATTATCTGCTATCGTTTCTCCGACTAAGAACGCTGCAAAAAGTACTAGGAGAGTCGTATCAAGATTGCTCCAGGGCGTTGGAGAGAGGACAGACGCCCGGTGAACAATGTACGTAGGCAAGGAAATCAGCAGAAGAATGAAATTCTGATATACGGAGATGAAGAGCAGAGAAAATAGGTGCCAAAGAATCTTGGATGGTATCGCTTTTCGAAGGACTGCCCATCGATAATCTTCGTCTTTCGGATTATACCCGCCTCTGTTTTCAAGTATTAGACAACGAGGCTCTCGGTTGGAACGACAAATACACTGGCCATACTTTCGCGCAAAGTTCAAAGTCAGCCTTGCTCCCCAGAAAGTCACGCATCCACAAACCACTAAACTCCTCACATCTCCACCAGCTTGCTGTCCGGCCAAAACCCACACATACACAACGGGCGCTATACTCCAAAGTCTATCGACCCAACTGTAGTTTGAAGTCAAGAGCGCCAGCACGTGACACACAACTGTGAACAGCAATGCAAGGAATGAAGTTTGATGCAGTGGATCGGGCGATGCGGGCGAGATGGTGAAGGAGGGAAGGACTGTAGCTGGATGTGACATGGTGCAAAGATGCTCCTAGAGTGTCAAGTAGGCGCAATGGGTCTGCGCAATTTGGCTGTTGTGTCACGATGGTGAGTAAGCTTCAGCAACACACCACCTCAACGCAGCTTTGCCCATTGTGCGGTTTCCAATAGCAAGACAGCATCCTTTGATAGCGCCCTCCACCCTTCACTTTCGGCTAGCCAGAGTTGGATTTGCAAATGTCTAGAAGCAACTCGAAGCGAGCAAGCTCAGCAGCCATTACTCTGCTCATCTTGGTCGAGGCATACCAAGATTGCTGAACTAAAAACCTCAAGCATGCTGAACCGAGACCACAAATATCGTCATGCAATAGCGTGATGTCGCTAACCACCCACCTCTCAGCAGTGTTGTGTAGTCATATATGCATAGAGAATACAGCCAGATGGCACCCAAAAAGCCAGTGCTTAGACCAACGTTAAAACCGCTGATGGGATCGGGCTGTCCGGAACCATGTCGACGAAGGGCACCGGAATATGAACCAATGCGGTGCCTTCCTACTGACCGATGGGCATACCAGCTTCTGCCAGATCAATGCTGTAAATTCAGTCACGGAAACAATCAGATCCAAAAATGATATTATAAACATACAATCATAGAGGTGAATTTGGTATTATATCTTTCCGACAAGATAGTTTACCGAGGTCAATTCGCATGGCATGGCGGCTATAATACTAAATGTGCACTCTGGACAGGCCACTTTCAACCAAGGCATTGTCCCAAGTTATGACACATATCGTCCAGTGATAATAAAATGCTAGTAGGAACACCCAGATGGTACATGTAAGTCTTGTCGCAGAGCGTAAACGCAGCAAATTAAAGAAAAAGTTGAAAGTCCAGCCATAAAGCTTCCACCAAATGCAAAAGTCACAACAACCCTCAAATGAAACATTGGTACCTCGCCAAACCGGTATAAAATACACCGACCCTGTCTCTGTCGCCGTTCACACCTACCTGCGGACCGGTATGCTTCCCCCAACGGACATCGATGTTCCCATTCCCGGTCCAGATTATGGTCCTGGAGAAGGAATGACAGGATGCATTACCCAAGCGGACATCAAGTACTTTTCGAGGGATTGGTATATTGGATGTGATGGCGAACTCTATCACAAGAACGAAGGCCCCGGACCAGTTAGATTTGATGCAGATCAGGGTAAGGGGTTCATAGACAAGATCAAAGAGAAGGTGCTGCCGAAACCAGAGCCCTTCCATGATTGGAATGATTAGATGCACGACAACCAATGGGCCGGTGGGTTGCGGGTTGGCATACATTGTTAGGAAAATAAATCAATGCCCAGAGACCTACTCTAATCGTCCCCCCTATGCGATCTATACTTACTTGGCGAGCTAAAAACTGTTCTAATAAGAATGCAATTCTACCGCAGTCAAAGCAGCTAGTCTGCCTTGTTCCCCTTCAAATCACCAAAGTACGCTCTTAGCTTGTCCCCAGCCTGCTCCAACATTTCCTCATTCTTGCAAAAGGCGAAACGAGCCAAATGCCCAGCAATTTGATCTCGTCCCTCCTTATCTGCAGGATCATAAAATGCAGAGGGTGGAATGGCTGTGACTCCCGCCTCTTTTGTCAAAAATCGACAGATTCGGTAATCTCGCCGAGGATCCGTGTCCACTTCCTCTGCTCCAGCATTGCCGTTTGCATCTGCAGGATCAGGTAAAGAACTTGTGTCCGCTAGGATAAAGTACCCGCCATGAGGAAGTGTCGGTGTCAGCCCCACTGAACTGAGCATCGTGTGGAGTTTGTCACGAAGCTGCTGATATTCTGCACGCGTCCGCTCGAAATAGCCATTTGTAGCAGCTTGTTCTAGGCACACCGCAGTGGCTTCCTACCGTTCAAATGGTCAATCAGCGCCAGTGCGGCAATGTCAATTCCATCGGTATTACCTGCAATGGTGTTACGACCGAGAAGGGAACATACTGATGGACCATCCAAATGGATCGGATAATATCAGGTGCGCCAACGGCCCATCCAATCTTCCATCCCGTTACCCCAAACATTTTGCCTTCCATCCAAAGTAGTCTCTTAGGTGAGCCTGCAGCAAGCGCGAAAGTAGTCTCCGGCATACGTACCGACACTTCCCACGGTGATCGTGCGCTCAAACATGCCAGGCAGGCTGGCTTCAAAGTTAATGTATCGTGGTGAGTCAGCTATCATCATACGAGGTATTGCAAAACATTCTACCATACCAAACTTTATGAGAGGTGCTACAGAGTCCGTGTAAACAAGAGTCTCGTATACTTCATCCGCCAAAACGAGCAGGTCATACTCGGTTGCAATTTGGGCAATCGCTTCCAGCTCCTCCCGTGTAAACACCTTTCCTGCAAAAGAGTCATGTAAGACCCCATCCAGAGGGAACATTTGACAGGACCATGCAGGCATACACACCAACAGGATTATGGGGGTTATTCACAATGATCATCTTGGTCTTCCCAGGTTTGATCGCGCGTCGAATCTCATCAAAATCCAGCTTCCAGTCATCAGAGGTCTTTGATGATCGATCAGAAGGAGGTCGTAGGGAGACCATTACAGGGATGCCTCCAGCAAGCGTAACGGACGCCGGATAGCTATCGTAGAATGGCTGCATTAAGATGACCTCATCTCCAGGATTAATAAATGCTTGAATGGTACTGTAGATCGCTGTATGATAGCTCCATGTTAGATCCATGCAGACGCCAGCTTCCTGTGACAGCTTTAAGCGTACCTTCACAAGCCCCGACAGCGGTGACGATCTCCGTCAGGGGGTTGAGTGACCTCCCCAATTTGTCTTCATAGAAAGCCGATAACGCTAATGAATGCAAATACTCAGTATGACCTTCGATTTGGACAGCTGATAACCTATTCCCCAACCTTTTGCAAGTCGAACGTGCCCTTCACTTCTCGTATATTGATGCAATAGTCTATTCTGAGTGAGAGCATCTGTGGCAGCTTTTGTGACGAATTCAGGGATAGGAAGAGTTGGGAATCCCTGCATTATAGGGACGAGGTTGATTTGGAAGGTTAATTCTCTGGATCCAAATGTATTGATAACCATATCCCTTTCAACGTCCACCATCACCAGTCGTCCGCAAACTTTGAGCTATATAACAGGAGCACCAACCTGGCCCAGATTGACCGCCTTATGTGCCAACGCTAGAGCGGTGAACTCTGCAAAAACTGTCCCACCTTGATCGAGGCTATTTACTCGACCGGCAGACTGTTGACAAAAGAGGTATGAAAATTTCGTTCCAGAGTCAATGATAACGGCCGAGGTCGTCTCCTACTTTTGGCGAGATCCTGGGGACAGCCGACATAGCGCGTACAGAGAAATATAAAGGCAGTGATGTTCGCAGTGATCCTTTAATAACAGATTGTAAATACAAGTGCATTTGATAATGGTTGCAGCGTTCAGAAAGTGGAAGAAGCGACAGAGGGTCGTCATCCGCGACATGCCATTGCGCACATCCGGTTACATCGGATGGAACCATGTATAACCGGAGAATATCCTCATAGCAGCTATATTTCATGATAAACTACTCAAGAGGTCCTCAATATGAAGAAGACCAAATACTGAAAGTAATGATTTGCAATATTTTCCTGCAATATATAAAGTCAATCACCGCGAATCTAACAAGTAATTTGTCGCCTTTGCGACATCAAACGCATTCCTGTTATTGATGAGAGACCGTTAGGACACTGATGTCAATGCGAGCACTAACATCCAAGTCAGTGACTTACACTTCAAGGGCATTCACTGCTTCTTCTAAAACGACGAAGAGAATACGTTACCACCAATCAAACACAAATGATACAAGAATACTGTAAACGCACCTTTACTAAATCCCAATGCTATAATCTGTTGCACCTCAACCGCATCGTCCTGCGAGGTTGAGGCTCGTTGTGGCGGAAGCGGTACCGGTCGCTTCTTTGGAGACGCCGGTGCTGCCGCTGTGAAAGCATTGCCAAAGTCTCCAGAGTTCCCGAATGCATCATCAAAAGCATTGAACCCATTTCCATTCACTTTTGCTTTTCCGTCTGAAGTCCCGTTCGATTCACTTGGACTGCCGAAGGCTGCATCGAGATCCGCAAAAGAGGCTGGTGACTGAGCAGGGGGCCCAAATGAAAAGTTGTTTGCAGAGAACGGATCTCCACCAGCCGCTGGGGGCGCGCCAAATGCATTAGCAAAATCTGCCTCAAAGCTGGCAGCGGTTGCTGATGTTGCCGACCCTCCCGCAAAGGCCCCAACTGCATCATCTCCACTAGTAAAGTTGGCTGCCCCTGCATCAAATGAGGCATCAAACTTGAATGCGTCATCATCAAAGTCCGCAGCGGAGACGGCTCCAAAAGCTTTGTCGTCAAAGTCAGCAGTTTCAGCTTTTCCATTTCCTTGTGGGTTTGATTCCCGCTTTGCAGATGCCGCGAAGGCGTTTTTCATTTCCTCTTCAATATTCACCGTGGCTAAAGATGCTAGCAGTTCCCCTTGCCTGGTGCTGGTAGATCTCATCGATGCACCATCCTGAAATGATGAACTGGAACCCTTTCTTCCCTCCTGGCTCAAGGGCGAAGAAACGGGTTGCGGTTGGTTAATGGGAGGAACTGCGAAGGCAGAATCAAAATCAGCTTCAAACTCATTGGACGCGAAGCCTCCTATTTGTTCGCGTGCTATACTACTGAAAGCGTCGTTGAACTCGGTAGGAGCTGTGGTGACCGGAAGATCATTTGACTCCCCAAACGTCGCGCTGTCAGTACGGACAGGCGCCGGCGGGGGTGCAGTCGCTGGTGGAGCTGTACTTGTGGGTAGGTCTCCGAATGCACTGGCGAAATCAAGCGCGGATGTTGTACTTGCCATCTTGTTATCCCCCTTTTCTGTTTCTTGCGATTCTCCCAAAGGCAGAGAACGCACCGACGAACTCTTCTTCGCATTTTGAGATCCGAAGACCTCCTCTTCTGGCGGCCTCTCACCAGACGCACTCAACGTCAAGGATTTGACCGACGCCGGCTTCAGTTGCCTGGCCGCAGGTGATGGTCCCACTGGAGATGGAGAGGCCGGTCTCATGGAGACGGGCGACGGACCAAATGACGCTAGACTTGATTGACTTTTCTTGTTTTTAGGCTGATGGATTTCGAGCAAATCATCTAATTCTTCCTTTGCAGACTTGCGCGAAGAGATTGAGGTAGTTGACATCTTACGTTGCGGAGATTGGCTTGCCGGGCTTGCGGTGGATGCTTCCGGCTTGACTGGCGTCAAAGATTCATTCGGTTTCGGTGCTGGGACATGCGTCAAATCGGTCTGGCTCAGCCCAACGGGATCGCCGCGCAGAGGCTTTTTCGACATCGGCGGGGGTGGTGGTGGCGCCTTTTTCCCGGTCCCGGATAACGAGCCGGTACTGAATGTCGGTGAGTTCAGTGCAACAGAAGAGCCCAAATCCATCAAGGACCCCTTCGCTGAAGTGGTATCTAGGGATTTACCAGGTGACATAGTGGAACTCGGACTGCTAACGCTCGAAAATGCGGCATAAGGGTCTCGCGTTGTGACATTGAGGGCTGGAAGAGATTGAGAGACCGCCAGTTCCTTCTCTCGCTGTGCTGCAGCAGCTCGCATTTTTTCCCGTTCTCTCTCATTTATTGCAGTCTGTACGGAGATTTGCTGTGCGACCTGCGCATTACGACTCTTCTCTTGCTCTAACCGCGCCTGCTCTTGTTGAAGGTCCGCATGTATCTGCTGGTAATCAGCCCGCGCGCTTTGGAGCACCTGCTCGTTAATTTCTCGATGCTGCTGATGTTGTTTGAGGTCGGCCCTCAACTTTTCTATTTCTTGTCGCAACGGGATGCTCGCCTCGTTAGCTTCTTTTATTTGCTTTTTCATCTCCTCGATATCATGCTGCGTGCGCCCCAGCTGTTCCACGAGGTTCCCCTTTTCCGCTTGCAAGGCGGCTACCGTCTGCTGTGCTTGTTGTAATTCCGCCAATGCAATATTTAACATCTGTTTTTCGCGTATCAGTGCATTCTCAGTTTCAAGAGCAATCTGGCTTTCAGTCTCATATACAGCACGGAGCTGTGAAAGCTGAAGGGCCTGTTCATTCCTCTTTTCAGTGACGGTCCTAAATTCAGAGTCCAGAGCAGCCCTCTTCTGTCTCAGTTCTTCCACAGAAGGCTGCACGCTGCCAAGCTGCTGTTCCACTGACTGCAGGTCTGCTTTTCGTTGAGCTAATTCCTCCTCTCGTTCCGCCAATTCGGCAGCATTCTGCGTTGAAGGCAGTTTACTAAATGATAGTGCTGCAGAAAAGTGGAGACATAAGACTCTGACCTAACAAGAAACCAAAGCACATATTTAAATACATACATCTTGCATCGATCAGAGATCTTGGGGCAGAACCCATTCCTCCCATCAGATCGGTTTCGCCAGCTGATAATTGCGATCCAACACTTGGAGAGGCTGCCAGACCAGATGTATTATCGCCAGTTCCTAATGCTTTCAAAGCCTGCATACGAAGGGATGGCGGAACCAGCTCCGGCGGGAGTACCGAGGGCAAGGGTGTCCCGGCCATTCGCAGCTTTATCAAGTGCATCGCAACTGCAAATTCGTCCTTAGAAAGACGCCCAGTTCTGGAAATATCCGCAAGATCCCATATCCTAGCAAGTTCCGTTTGTGGTAGTTTCGCGCGCGTGAAAAATTCGTAGCTGTCCTGCCCTGGTTCATAAATCATAAACACAGGTCCCAATTTTTGAGAGGAAGTATGCGTATTTTCTTACCTGTCACGAAGCCTTTTTTGTCCTTATCTAAACCATCAAAAAATTGGTCGCACTGTGCCTTTTCATCATCTTTGATCAACCATTCCGGGGACGTCATTATCTGGGACGCTACAGTAGAAATTATGGTCCTCCGGCGATCTATGCGGGGAGAGCTAGGGGGCGGCCCGACCGTTGACATCCGATTCAAAAGCCGCGACGAAAGGGGAGGGGCCAGAGGTGTATGGAGTCCCAAGTCTTTTATTGGACTTATAGAGGGACTATCTAAATTCGGGAGGGTCGTAGTCGCGCCTAAAAGATGCGAGGGGAGCGTTGCAGGTACCGAAGGCAAAGCCCCTTGTCGCAACCGTGTAATTAAAAGCATCGCAGCGGAGAATTGATGGATATCCAGTTTTCCGGCGCCCGATGTATCGACCAAATTCCTGATTCAAGCCAAAATATGTCACTGATTCTGTCTTACGTGTGGCTAAACATCGATGAGACATCTCACCAGATTTTGCTTAGCACGTCGACTGGCAACGTGGATTTGATGAACAATTCCTTTGCTGCTTCCCCTAGATACAAATGGTTTATCGCCTGCTTCAACCACAACACAGAGCCTGATACGCACCAGTTACAAACCCATCCAAGGGCTTGCATGAATTGAACGCAACGGTAAATCGTTCGCGCTCCTCCGCAGATATATTATACGCCCCTCCATTCCCGGTGCTGTGAGAGGCAACTCCACTTCCAGTCATATGTGATGCTATTCGTCCAGTGCCGGTGCTATGTACAGATAAACCGCCTCCCGTATGGTGCGTCGTAATACTACCACCTGTTCGGTGAGTTGCAACGGCACTTAAGGGGGATCCAGACGCAGAGGCGCCAGTCAAATGGCTTGCGACTGTAGATGGGAAGGGAGATGGTGTCGATGGGCTAGCATTTCCAGGTAACGTAATACCACCAAACGTTGGGATTGGTGCAGCTAAAACACAATTCATCAGAACAAATCCACACATCCGCCGATTCCGCCGAGAAACATACAGGTATTGAGTAATGCGGCACTGGGTGCCTTTCCAGCTTGGGCCAGAGCAATCAACTTTAGAGCTTTGTAAAAGCCTTGTTGCGTTAGGTAACCTTTGCGTTCTGAATCCGCGATTTGCCAGATCTAGTAGGTCGGAAGGTCAATATTCGTGACAATCAACCGCTAATCCACATTCGCCCGCACCTCACTTAAAACATTCTGTGGTAAGTGCGATTTTGACATGAACGCCACGGCATCGTTTGGCTGAACAGTGCCTGTTGCCTGCGAATCGGCAAGCTTGAAAAGCTGAGCATAAGCAGCCGTCTCCTCCGCTGTCAGTGGAAAGCCCGGAGATACGTCTAGTAAGGGGAAGTTAGTGGAAAGTTCCGATAAAAAGTACAAGTATCGCAAGCACCTTTACTGGCGCCATGTGTTGTTGTCGCCAGAGTTGCATTGGATTGGGTAGACGGGACCGCGGATAGGTCGGACTCGAGAAATGCCCAAGAGTTCCGCTTTGTATCTGCCATCTACACAACAACGCCCGAACTTGGCCGGAGAAGGTAAAGTAAGAATGTAAAGTAAAATGGGTTGCTGCTAATCCGCTTTGCCGTTGTTGCTTGCCTTGGTCCGCGCCAAAGGCCCATCAGCCATGAACTAACGCAGACTCCCAGTCACGCCACAGCAGTTACCATATATGGCTATATGACGATTTATTGTGGCAAGTGCACCATCTTCGAGTCTTTGCAACCTTTCGCGATCTTGAGATCTGGATTGCAGTGGAATTCCCCCTGGCCCTACGCAGCGGGTGGTTGTTAATTGGAGGCAAAAGAAGTGGCCCAATGTCGCTCTTGCACTCCTGGGGTCCGTCCTCAAACCCTTTTGTTGAGGCAATTACGCCAGAGCTCTACAACCGATTAGCCAGTGTTTTGTGGGCCACCTTCATCGTCGTTTACACCCTCCTATATACTTGGTCGCTTTCCCTCGGTGACTTTGTGGGATTTGGTACATAGTTTTGATTTTCTGCGTTGTCTGGTAAAAGTCGGACCTCTAACGCTTGGGCTGGTCATAGGTTGGCTCCGCAAGCTCTTCCAACCCACTACCTGGTTTTTCAGCTTTGTCGCAAGTTTACTCATTGGGGTCCTAGTCTGGAGGAGAGTCCAAAACCTGCAAGGTACGTTACCGGTCTTTTTTGCTCACCTGTGCTTGGTTACTTAACCGTGCCCGCTCCATGAAAAGTTCGTCGCCGTGTACAGCGGACGAGATTCCTTGCTCTGCTAGACTTCTTGAATGGACAGTTACTGGCTTCTGCCCTCTGGCATTCTGCGTCTAGTGTAATATTAGGATATTTCTACTTGCGACAAAAGCAAAGTAGAGTGAAAAGTGATTGGTTTCTATATCCAGAAGGGTATGTCTTCGTATACCAGTTTTCTTTCCATGAATGTTTAGTAACTCTCAGTAATTAGAAAATATGGTGCACCGGAACTCAATGAGAACCTGGTCTTTATTGCTGGATACTGTCTCTTTGTCGCTCTAGCTTACGCTGGGTATCGTCGATACGCTGAACGCGATCAGCTGGCTTTCCCACCAATTCAGGTATAATTGGGAGATTTGGAGGCAACCTTTAGTTCCGTTTTGACTAAAGGGTATTTTATTACAGCGTGGACTGCATTGGCGTATAAGAGCTCGGTTACCTGTCAGTTTATCGACGGCGGTGTCACTTGGAACCATATTTCTCGCGGTGTACAACTCATTGTATCTAATTTGTGGGTTCTCACTGTACAAAATTGCGGCAGCAAGCATTGTTCGTATCGGTAATTTTGCGGCGACTTTCGGAAACAAATCTGCTCCCATTGGGTATGCAAAGAATGCGAGCGTGACTCATTTTTCACCGTTTTCGACTAATAAAACCGTTCCCTGTTAAACAGGCTTATCATCCATGAAGGCTCCTGGCTACGCTGGATTGGCTTGAGGTCGCTTTTGCACAGCTACTTGACAGGAATGCTACTCCTTGCGATCTGGGAAGCTGTCGACCACATTTTCGAAGTCTTCTTTACTGCTGTGAGTATGTCGAGGTTGTCACCCAACTTTGGCAGGAGGACTGTCATCTTGATACATCATTTCATATTTCCATTAGCCAATTAGAAAAGATATTCCTCGTTCCACAGTTCTAACAGGTCTGAACTTGCCGACTGGCCAATATGCACAGGTATTTAATACAGTAGAACGTCACATGATCCCTGAATATTGACCATATCTCCCTCCCCAGTATCTAGCGTGGTTGACCCTGAAAGGCCAATTGGAATGTCGCGGTCAATCTAGGCAGAGTATTTTTACCGTTCGCAATGACGAACCTTCACCTTTGAAAGCGGTGCTCGCTTCATCAATGTCTATCGTGGACCGTCTGAGTGAATCGTTAGAAGTCGAACAGAAAAAAAGCAAAGGTGGCTAGTTGTTATATGGAGGATCACGTGTAAAATACGTTCTGCCTTTCTGACCGTTTCTCCCAGACCGCCGGGAACAGGAGGACGCAAAGCGAATTAAACCAATTGCCGCTGCCTCGGGGATAACGGGTTCAAGCGTTTTTTCTCCTCAGAAACGTAAACAGGCCATCCTGGATGTGGTTAGCGATAAAGTCAAAGAATTTGTGTTCCAGCCAGGGAGCCCTGCTCGAAGTCCGAAAGTCCCGCCAGAGCCACCCAAAGTATTACAGGACAGATGGCCACAAGAGCAGCATAGGGAGTACCCCGCCTTGCTTCGACCCCCACGGCAACACTTAGACGCTCAACAAACAGCTGGATCAACGGCACAGTCACAGTCAATACCTGTATCATTAAAAGACAGGCGCGCAACCGGACAGGAGGTTTTGGCAAACTTGCAGCAATGGATTGCACGGTGGAAATGGGGAAAATGGCTTGTGGCGGAAACATTGGATCGACAAACAAAGGATTTGTTTGCCGACTTTCAGGTGCAAGTTTGGGCTATTCAAGGTGGGTTCTTCACAGAGTATCGGACGTTAAGGTGCTGTCAACTTACAGCTAACCCATGATTGCCAGTTCTTATTAGCATCGTCGTTGCTTCTCCAACGGAGGACCGATTTGGAATTGTCAGTGACGAGCTTGACACTATCCTTGAATGTCTACTTCGGTGTCAGCTGGGTTTGGAAACACGATTGGCGGACCCGCCTGTAAAACCAGATGAGGATCCATGGATCCGAAATCAACTGGGTGATAACCAGTTGCTATTCAGGGAGCCATATGCTCTCTTACAAGGTACGTAATCCATACCCAGTCGCAGGATTTCCATCGGTAGATCATTCACCAAATTCTTGCTGTAGTAATGCAAAATTCTTTGTATCGGGTGGTTACTGCGTGGTACGAAACATTGGGGCAGAGGAAGTTGCAACCCCGATACGCCAGGAAGTTCCAAAGATATCTGGACTTCAGGGAATGAGGCACGTCGGTGATATCGGCAAAAGGGAAACGGGAGCTGTGGCATATCAAATGAGAAGGGGCGCATGCGTAGAAACAATAACCTCTGGTTTGCAAATATGTACACAAGATTATGGCGCAGAGTATCATTAAATACCTATAGAGGTTTAAAAACCTATAGAGCGCTTCAAATCCAGTTCCACTTCGTGCCCTTGTACTCCAACCATGCTGTCGATGACAGGCAGCTCTGCCAGGAACGGATCTGGCTCAACGAGCCAGAAGATTGCTTAATGGATTACCAATAACATATGGATAATACACCAGTGTGGATTCGAACAATTTTGGCCGGGACAAAATGGCCATTGCATGAGGAACAGAGCATTAGGTCGAAAAAAGGCAAGCAGCTTGTGAAATGCGATCTGTGCTTTCCAAAAGAGGACTGCATGCGCCGTTCTAATGTAAATTTATACAAACATTTTCTACTCGCTCTCCTCATTCCTCTCCAGCAGTATGTACAATAATGTAATAGCGGCAGTCAGATCAGGCTCCGGTGCGTTGCCGCTTTAGGTCTTTTTGCGCAGAGGAAGGCGTCAAGGACGACCGCTTCTGCGGCTAACAACTTGGTCATTATCCTTCAAGAGTTTTACCGACAGAGACGATTAATAACTTACCACTGCAGAAGATCCACCTGCTTGTCCCCCGCCCATCACACGGGCCTTCACCCGCATCTTACTCAGCTCCAAATCGACTTTGTCGTACAGCTTTTTCACCTCCAGTAAAGTCTGGATGTTCATTTGCAGCTCGTTAAATTTTGCACACACTGGAGCGGTAGGCATATTCGGCTTTATCCCCAGCCCAAGTTCCTGCAGGAATTGGTGGACTCGGGGCACAAGGGCTGTTTTCGGTGCTGGAAGTTTTGAAGAACGCGCGAAGGCTCCCACTGGATATTTGATTTTGTGGGCAGAATCTAGAACATAAAGCCCCGGTCAGCCCTCCGATAATGAGCCATCACAGTCAGTAGGCGGCTGGCTACCATACCCTCCTCAGCCGCTGGTTCTTCTTTGACCTTGCTCCTTTTTCTTGCAGAGTTGCTAGGTCCTACTTCCATTACGGGGCTGCTCACATCTTCAGAGGACGCCCTCTTGGTTGAGCCCACGGATTTCCGTTTCTTCAGCTTCTCTACGTTTTTATCGATTGGCGTCAGCCCTTCTCTATTCGCCAAGCGCACTTCATTATCGTTGAGCAACTGCCAGACAGCTTCGCGTTCACGTTGCATTCGCTCTTCCTTTTGCTCACGACGACGGAGCTCCATAAAGAGATACTCTTCCTCTTTAATTTGTTCTGCAGTTCGGTTATAGAGAATTTCCAGATTCTTTTTGCGTTCGATTTCGCGGGCTTTATCGAAATTGTAGCCTGTTAGATCCTTTTTGTCCGGCTTACCGCGTGCTAGAAGGATGGCTCGCGCGGTTTGATAGTAGCGCTCCTTCAGATCCTATACATTGATACAACATGGAAGTCACTTCACACACTCTAAAAGTCATCAAGATGGACGCATAATTGCACCATACATCTATTGTTCGCGTGTGATTCGGCCAATCGTACCGGTCGAAGATAACAAACCAACGTAGATCGAATGCTTTACACAGAGAAAACAGATAGTCCGTTTCTTCTCTGGTCCAGCCAGATGACGCTGCTTTATCTAAAGTACCCGAAGATGCTACGTTCAGCATAAGCTGCAACTCATGTAGCGCATAGCTGCCCTTACCCTTCAGATGGGCGTTATATTCTTCCTCGGTGTAATCGACCATATCAACAATTTCGTTGAACTTTGCAAAGTAATAATCTGAATGCATTGAGGAGTTGGTCGGAGTTGATTCTTCCGCATCCAGACCAAAACAAAACCAACCTTCTGCATCGGTGGCTTTTACCCAATGATACAGTTCCAAGTTATCTCTTCGAGCTGGGTTGGTAAAGGAACGCCAAACCCTTTATATGCGCTTCGTTTAGGAAAGAGACAATGACGGAGCACATACGGTCACAACTTACCATGGCGAAACAGCTGTTCTCTTACTAAAATTCGGTCTAGCCTTGTACTTCTTTTTGGCAAGTACCATTGGTGGTGCACCGCCCGTCAATGAGAGTAGCTCGCGATTTAGACCATCTGTTCAAAAAAGGTGTCAATGACCGGTTGACTTAAACCTGCGCTTTGCACACCCCATACCGCTCTTCTTCTCCTTGACTCTCTCCGCTTTAACGGCGTTGCGTATCGATGAGGTTGTTTTCCCAGCGTCGGCCGGGAGCTGCAGGATATCCCGCACGTCGCTAGACATGCCTCGAGCCTTTCCAGGGAGCCTTTCCAGGTTGAGCAGATCTCGCTGGGCAGTCGGTTTCTTGGACTAGCACGCGAATATCGCTGATCACGTGCCCAACCGGTTGCATTGTGTTGAGAGCAGGGTCCATCTGCCTACTTCTTTGCCCAACCCCCCCAGGCCAGTTGTGAGATATGACATGGCATGTCCTGAGGTCAACGCCGACCCAGCGTCGCCATGCTCAGAATGCGGCAAACTCAAGGAGGATGTGAAGAGGTTGGGGGATGAAAAGCAAGCACTCTTGAAAAATGTGAAGGCGTTCAAGGAGAAGGCTATCCAAACGAACAAATTGGTCGAGTTTTGTAAAAATGCAGAAAAAGGTGGCTCTACACAACATTTTCTTTGGTTCTCGCTTTCAATATTTTTGACCTATATTATTCCTCTTTTTAATGTCTAAAAGAAAAAGCGGAAAATGCTGCAGAACTGGCAAAACTAAAGAGTGATCTGGGAAACACCGCTAAAGATCGCGACGAGGCAGTAGCGGAATTGATCAACCTACGCGAAGAGATAATCAAGATCCGTGAAGAGCTCATTGTCTCGAAGCAATCTGTTTCTCGATTAGCTAAAACCGAATCGGCACTGGCAAGCACAAAAGCGGAAGTGGTAAAACTGAAAGATGCAAACAATCACTGGCAGAGGCAGGTCATACAACAGAAGGTGGTGATTCAACAGTCCGAGAATACTCTGAACAAACTTCGGGAGGAGCATGCTCAAAAGTGCGTACCAAGGTGGCCATCCGCTCTGTGTCGCACCATACCAACTGATATCGTTTCTGGTTACTAGAGATGATCAGTTGAGAAAGCTGAAAGATGAAATGTGCAAGGCTAACGAGCTTCTATGTCAATCCGCGGAAGTGGCATCAAAGCAAGACGCGGTGAAGGTCGAGATGGATACACTACGAAAGCAGTTGGCCGAAGCAAGGATACAAGCTGTGGAGGCCGTGAAACTGGCTAAAAGTGCAGAAGAGCGGTGTACAATATTAGAAGAGGGGAAAATGTCCTTAGAGAATCAAGCTAAAGTACTTGAAAAGGGGAAGCTGGAGATTGAGACCCGGTGCAAAGATCAACTGCTTGAAATTTCTCAATTAAGAAAGAAAGATGAAGAGATCCACAAGCTCAAGGACATGCATTCAGAGATGGAGGCGAGGATGAAAGCAAAAGATGCGGAGATCCAAAATATGCGACAACGAGTAACGGCTGCTGAAACGTCTGGAAAGACTGAGGTACCCCGGTACAGGAAAAGCGACCAACGCAACGATGTAAATGAGGATGCTGCGACGGTCCAACAGCGTTATGACAATGAAATGCGACGGATGAGGGATCGCCTGAAAGAGTTTGAGGCGCAACTTCAAGACAAGGAGGAGACACTTCGTACTTGCAACAGTCGACTCGCTGATGAAAGGGCCAGGCACAAGGATGAAGTACGGCAGTTGCGGGCACAGCTCAGCAATGCAAGCGCACAGGCCAAAGAGCCTACTGTGCAAAAGGGAATTGAAAAACATATGGCACCTGATCAGTCAGAAGACGGGGTCTCTCGCCTTGTACGACAGATCGATCGTTTGAGAGGTGAAAACGCATCACTTTCGAAGCAGAAGGTATGTTCAGTGCCACCTGGTCCGACCGGGGGCCACCTTCTAATCATGAAGTCTTTACACAGATGGCGTTGCAAGAGTTGGTGACTGAGCAGCAGGTGCGCCTAAGTTGCTTGAAAAGAAAACTCACAAAAGTCGACAACGATGAGGTAGGCTGCTTGAGAAACGCTAATATAAAGAATCACATTAATCATTGTTTCACTTCCAGTTGCAGTCTGACCTGGAGGAGGATTACAAAGATCGACCTTCCAAGCGAAGGGCAACCCAAAATTCTGTGCAGACGTTGTCAGAAATAGTACCCACTCCGAGGTGTTCCCCTACTCCTACGGAAGACGAACTTGCTACCTCCCTTGACCTTGGAGCGTCGCCCATCACCACTGCGAGCCGTTCTCGCGCCCCTAGCATCGACTCCATTAGCACAACATCATCCGACAGGTACAAAACAAAGCCATTGCCTCCCAGTCGCTCCAGTGCTTTGGCTGCAAAGGAAAGAGATACAGGAGGAGCCAAAGCACCTAGCATGGCGGCTAAGTCAAAAGCGGCTCCCTCTGTAGAAAAGGTCAAGCGAAGGTCACGCACTATGTCAACAGGCAGCTCTACATCTTCGGGAGCATCAGAACCTGTAGGATCCTCACTGCCACCGAGATCAAATAGTACCCAACGTCAACCTGTGTCACGTACTGCATCCGGGGGTAAGCGAACTTCACTGCATGCGGACTCGGGTGGAAAAAAGACTTCAAGCGCAGGACAAACGACCTCTAATGCAGCAGCCACGGCCTCACGTAGTACAACCGATTCAATCAAAGCAAGTGTACCGCCCTCCTCTATATCGAAGCAAGCTCGCAGGCAATCTGCCGCTCTGGAGCCTCCAACCAAACTGCAGACAAGTGATCTTCAATTCAAACCCGCGGATAATGTCATCTCTCCCCCGCAACCGCCTTGTCCCATGGAATCGTCTGACCGCCTCTTTCCCAGTCGGCAAAAGGACCTTGCCGACCTCATGAGTAGAAAGATCCGGAAAGTTGTACCGGCGGAGAAAGCGCAGAAAACAAAACCGAGTTCTCCTGTGGTCAGTGGCCAAGGTTCGCCAGTTGTTGATGATGTCACGTGTGAGTCAGGGATATGTTGTTGCTTGTTATGCCCGTAACTACCATTTCCACAGCTGACACGGGCCTCTTTTTGTTCTGCAGTCATCAAGGACGTGCTTTTGAGCATTGATACGGACTCACCTGCAGCCCTCGTGGATTTCTTCAAAAACCCGCAAAGTCGAGCCGCTAGTGACTCTTACACCCTTCAATGCGCTTTAGACCAATGTTGGGGACATTTCCGGTCGCACGCTCTATTGATCGGAAGGGTAGGGGGTATCACTAAACCGAGTGCACCACCCATGTTGCGAAGCTTGCAAACATCCGAATATCTGCCTGTGCGTGAACGCCACATCATCTTATGCGTTTTCAGTTGGGCCGTGCGGTATGCCAGCAAGAAACTCTTGGACAAAATAATGACATGGATCCATCACACGCTCGTCACCACGTCGGCTACCAAACGCAGCTTGGGGCGCGCGTGTCGCATGATTCGAGCTTTCACAACTTGGTGTCGTTTTACAAACGATCTGCAACGGTGTCGCGTATTGTGTTACGACCTATTACGAGAGGTTGGTGCTGTGAGTGATTGTATCATTATGTTGGACAACGTGAGCAAAATGTGGCCCGAAGCGTTACGGCCGTCTGACCGGTCGGATCCGGTTTTCGATTCGTTTCAGGCGATCGTTACTGCTTTGACCACTGATGGGGTGGGCGTATTTGACAAGTGCGAATTGGGAACATTGAAGGCGGGGACATTAACACCAGAGGACTTGCTGACGAGACAGATGAATACAGTCTTGAATGACTCATCAATTGGATCGAACGCGCGGTTTTCCGTTGCTTTTGTCAAATCTGTTGAACTATGTGGGCAGCAATTGCCTTGGGAAAAACGCTATGCCGTGATTCAGCAGTTGTGGGCCCAGCTCAATGACCCCGACAAGGCACCATTTTCACTCTCGCTCATCTCAGGATTAGCCAGAGGTTCCATGGGAGATTTCCAGCCTTTGCCAGGGGTTGAATGGTTTAGGGATCAGTTGGAGAAACTTTTGTCACTGAATGACGAGAACCAGGAGATGCAAGAAGACGTTGCGATGGCTGTATTGAATTTGAGCTGGGGCAAGGTTTCAAGTTTGCGACGAGTGTGGGAATGGGCCAACGGAAAGACTTTGGGAGGTAATTTGACAAGGGATTTGAAAGCTGTTGGGAGAATTGTAAACAGATGAGGTTCGACTCGTGTATTATATACTTGGCAGTATTAATGACTTGTGTACAAAACATTGGCTTATATTAAACGTTCCATAAAATTCAAGACTGGCTTAATCTTGAGCGCACGTCCAATACAATTCTCTACAACTGTTTACAACCATGTCCAATATTCTCTGCCTCCAGAGATTCTTTCTTCAGCTGCCGACTAGTCAACCGCTGTATTGTCGGGTAGCAATCTCAATCTCACCCGTAAAAGGTGACACCATGTGTCGCCAAAGAAAACGTGCGTAATAAGTAGGGGTGTACCTTGGTTCCCGGTAGCAGAGTGTAAAAACCGGCGTATCTATGAGCATATGTTGGCTCAAGTCTCAAGTTTCTAAATCTCTTTTATACAGGTGCGTTTTCCGGGACTTGCAGCACATGCATTAACCGCCGCATTGTGCACCGAGTCAAGGACGCAGCAAAACGGGGTCGCGAAAGATTCCATTTGACCGTGTCAGTCGGACGACGCCGGCAAAATAAAGAGTCCGATCACCCATGTAGACGACAATAAATGCAGCCAACGACAGTCGTTCTCGATTGGAATATTGGGAGAGGCAAGTATCCAGTATCACTCCTTTTGAAACTTTCAGGTTCATTTGGCCACTCAACGTGCTCTGGAAATCAAGCTGTGTCACCCGGACAATTTTGCTTTCGCAATCATAGCCAGTAGAGATAGCTTCGTGAACGGTTTGGAGAGGTAGTCATTCATCCCAGCTTTTAAACAGTTTTCGCGATCGGTTTTGAACGCATTCGCAGTTAAGCCAACAATGAATATTTCACGGCCTTGGGTCGTCTTCCTAATTTCGCGGGTGGCCTCCAGGCCGTCCAGTACCGGCATATTCAAGTCGCAGAAAAGCATGTGATAGGATTCATTCTTTTTCACCATGTCCACAGCTTGGCGGCCGTTATCAGCCACGTCGACGGTAAAGTCACGCAGCATCCGCTTAAGAAGAGATTGGGTAACCTTGTTGTCTTCAGCGACAAGGATACGCATGCTGCCCATCTTGTCGGGAACAGGCACCTCTTGTGGAAGGACGTGCGCTTTAGGCAGTTTAAAAAGGACTGTGAAAGTTGATCCCTTATTTTCCTCGCTAGTTACTTCGATGGACCCATCCATGGCATTTACGAGCTTCTTGACGATCGATAATCCCAATCCCGTCCCACCAAATCGGCGGCTCGTTGATGCGTCTGCTTGGGTAAACGGATTGAACAGCCGTTGTATTACTTGCTCCGACATACCAATGCCTGTGTCTCGGACCGATATGGTGAGGTTCACTCTGTCGGCATTGTCCACTGTCCACGTGTTGGTAACAAAGACGTATCCACCAGGCATTGTAAACTTTACAGCATTGCTGACAAGGTTTAACAAAATCTGCTTCAGTCGAGTGGAATCGCCAATCACGTTGGGCCCATCGTACGAGTCGACTCGTAGAGTAACCTCCTTTCCAAGATCTTTAGAAATGGCGCGAACATCATCCAGAATCTCGGCTACACTGGTTACACGTAGATCTAAATCAACCTTTCCAGCGGTCAGCTTGCTGTAATCAAGGATATCGTTGATCAAGGATAAGAGCGTGGTTGCAGCCCGTCTAGCGTTGGACATGTACTCTTTTTGGGTCTCGTCCATGGGTGTTTCGTCCATTAGCTCGACGTGTCCAATAATGGATGTGAGAGGAGTGCGCAATTCATGACTCATGGTTGCTAGAAACTATTCACGTGGCATCTCGGAATAAGAAAGTAAAACTCAACAGCAAATACAAAGTACAGTCCAAAAACTCACCACGTCTTTGTGCTTGGATTCAATGAGCGCCTCTTCCTTTGCCCTAGTCAATTCCATTTCAGCAAAGACTTGGGAGGTAATATCTTGCGCCGTCCTGCAGTCAATCGCCATAACGTTAGAAGCTGAATATTGTCAAAGAACACCATTGTACACTTGATACGAACCCACGGAGCCCTTGAATCTTTCCGTCGCGGATCACAGGCTTTCCATATCCGCGAATATAGACCTCCTTCCTGTCCGACTCCCTTCGAATCCGCTGTATGATGTGGTATGAGTCTCCATTCAACAAAGCTTCGCTAACCGCCTTGTCAATCTTTTCTCGATCCTCTGGCGCGACACACTTCCAATATCTATCGTAAGTGATCCTGTTGGCTTCATATGTATCCGGTTCCATGCCAAATATTCGGAAAAACTCGTCGGATGCATTAATCCACCGGACGCCAGTTTTTTCGTCCTCTCTTAGCTCCCAGTTGCCAAGGTGGGTCAGCGCCTGTGCGTCTGCCAGCATATCCCGCTGCTTTTCCACCAATTTCGACTCTTCCGAGAATCCCTTGATGGCCTCCACGCTGTAATTCAAGACATACGGACTTGCGATAGCTGTAATGGCGGAGACGCCTGCCGTCAGATATCTATCGGCAATAACCCATTCAACGCCCATATGGCTGGCATCCAGAAAGTGCCCGATTCCGCAAAATAGAATAAATGCAACAAAGAGTCCCCCTACGCATTTTTGATACAAAGTCGTTGATGGGAGCTTGAAGACAAAGAAGGCCAGTTCTACCGGAATGGCAAAGTAGGAAGCACCAATAACAGCATCCGCCCAAGGAACGGTGAGTTTGGTGCTAACATCGGGTAGCGTTTGCGCGCCTATTTGGCCTGATGACTCTACGGGAACCGGAAGAGCCCAGGCGCGTTCGAGCAGGAATCCAAGTAACAACAATACTACATCCATTGGAAAGCCAGGTAGTCGTCATTCAATGTCGTTATTGCTCAAGAGAAGCGTGCTCATCCTTCTCCTGTCCCATCGGACCTCCCCCAGGGATTGCAGTTCAAACCAAAGGGTCAAGTCAGGCGAGAGCGTGCCGATCCGGAATCACGTGTAATGCTGATGTCATCTGTCTGGAAAATGACATGCTATTCTGATTAGTCGTTTTCTTCAGGGGCATGTGTGTTTTTTTTGGTTGTGTTGAATGCGCATAGGAATTGGAAAGCATTGTGTTTGGTCTTTTTTGCAATGGTTTGATGGTTTACGACCGTTTCATTCGAGCGAGTCTCGGGCGTCTCGGGCATTCCAACATGTCAAGGTCATTGGACATGCAGCGGTCGCGTTCGTTACAAGAACGGTATAAAACCAACGAGCATCCCCGCGATCGATGGGAATGCTTGACGCCTTGATTCACAAAAGCTAGCAATGAACGTTAACAATCGCAACAAAAAAAGAGATTGCGCACTCGACTTTTTGTCTTGAGAGAGATTCGAACTTGCAAATCACGTGTTACCTTTCGGACATCTCATTTCACACTTGTAGTTGAAACGGTTGCAAAAGTGTGACATTTCCCCCAAGGACACCAAAGTAAGCGCAATATGCGAGTAGTTCATTGGGGTTAAACGAGTGCAAAGGAATAAAATATCAGCTCATCCATTGCTCTTTTGCATTTTGGTACTTTGCCTCTTCAAAAGTGGCTGTTTTTTGGTGCAAAACGGCCAAGGTCCAAATGAAAGAAAAAAAAAAAGGACGGGCATCGTTCGGAAACCTTGAACGATGTGGCCAGAAATAAAGCAGGAAAAAAGCAATCGTAACACGTTAGACAAAGCATAAAACACCCTCGGATGTTCATGGCTTTGCTTTTGTTCCAAACGTTTTGTTGTGTCGTCACAACGAATAAAATTGGGGCTCAAAACACACAAGACAAAGGAAAGTTGCTCAAAAAGTGTGAAAATCGTCCAAAGCCAAAAAAAGAGACAACATATGCTTTTTGAAATGGGTGCTCAGCTGTGATCTGGGGGCAGCGTTACGTTTGTTCGCGTACTTAACCAGATTCGGCTTGCCTTTTCGTACTCGCCTTTTGTTGGGTTGGACGGGTTGTGTTCCGGAAAGTTTCTTTCAAAAAAATCTTTGGGCAGCTTGTTACCCACACACCAGCTGCCATATGCCTTCAAGGGAAAGTGTCCGCACCCACCCGGTGGAGCTAGTACGACATCATTCCCCCTGATTTCCAGCTGCTCTCGTCTAATGATCGTCCAGTTGGCCAGCCTTTTTTTTTTTTTGTTTGTTTGCTACTTGAAATATCATTATGCTGTCGTGCACAGTGGGCTGATATTTTCAGTCTCTGCACTCAAACCGTGAATCCTGGCTGTCCTATATACCTTGTACAATCCGCAATTCCATCAGGGATTCGCCATTTGACCGTTGCTACTATTTCTTGGCTCACATAACAATTTGGCACCATTTCTCCATTCTTGTGGTCGCCAATGCTTCCGAAGGAAGGAAATAACAGATTACACCGATAGCCTGCCTTCACGAATTCTGGTTGCAACCTGGCCTCCCTGTCCCTACTGTCTTACCTCTTGGGCGGCTTGGACTGTGATTACTACGAAAATAAAATATCTGGACCTGGCATTCCTTTCTCTATCTTCAATTCTCTTTCATCCTAGCAATCTGCATCCATGGTCATCTCCTCCCAAGGCGGGCCGCCTTTGGAAGATTTCTCAAACGGTAGTTGGATTCCCCACAGTCCCGGTGAAAAAGCGATAAACTTTACTTCGCTCGCAGTAAACATCGTGAATGTATGCGGAAATAGCTTCATCTTCTATCTGTTTGCCACTGACCGCGGGCTAAGAGAAGCGAGAACCTTTTTGGTATAACCTTTGTTGTTTTGTTAAAGCAATTATTGAGAGTACTGACATTGCATTTTTGCAAAGATCCTGAACCTCGCGGTAGCGGATTTCTTGTGGGGCGGGTCAGCAGGATTTACAGAATTGTGGAATGGTATCGCCGGCGGATTCGCAACCGGACCAGCTGGGTGTCAAATTGTCTTGTTCCTTGCTGCTTTGGGAATTGCGGTATCTATGCAAACCCTAATGTGGATTTCGGTCGACCGATGGCTCCATATTGTGCATGAGTAAGTCATCTAGTGTCTTTATCCGCTGTGGCTCGCCTTGCACGAACGGCGTCACTGACGCTCTTGCCAAACATTTTAGGAGGCCAAGCCCGTCATCCGTCATCATGTACATCATCGTCTTGGTTTGGTCGGTCGCAATCTGTACGTACCTGAGTTTTTGGCCAGATGAGATATGTGCTCTTTGTCATGACACTGTCTATTTTTATAGCATTCTCCACATGGCTCATGTTGGCCTCTCGCCCAGCCGGCGGCGCAATCATTGCAGCTACCCACACATACTGCGACGCTCCATGGTTCATACAAACACCCCTGATGAAAAGTGTCGCCTATTTTACCCTCACCTGCTACGTGTTCTTCCTGACGGTGATGGCCCTTTGCTATGGCACAATATACCGTAAATTCCGACGAGTGCGTGCCCGCATTGCACGGCTCACCGTCCGGTCATTGGGCTCCGCAACAACTGGGTCATCCCTTTCCTCTCAATGGAGCGCGACATTTCCAGCCGAATTAGGCGTACAGCGATCAAAAGAGGACAGCGCTGTATCAGATGTTCTCGAAATGGGTGTTGGGCGTAGCAGTCAAACAGATCGATCAGAAAGAATACGAAGAAGAAGGGAAAGAGGGCAGTTGATGGAACAAGAACAGCAAGAGGAGCGAGCGGTGGTCTTCAAGTTTGTCACTCTTGTGGCTTTCTTTTCTGTGTCGTGGGGATTTTGGGTGTTGGGAGTGGTGGCCTATGAAACGTTTACCAGCAAGCCATCCCCGGCGAATCTTACTGGAATGGGAGCCATCATGGCGTACACCAACTCAGTATGTGTCACACCTCTATGCATTTCAAGTTGTGTCGTTTGTCAAACTCACCGTCATCTCTGTATTAGGCCGTAAACCCATTCCTATTTATCTTCCTTGACAAGCGTTTTATGTCATCAGCAAGAAATGCATTGGGCTTGTACCAATATAACTAAGAAAATCGAATACGCCAAGTACTTTATTCTAATCGACTGATAGCCTTGATCTCATATGACGAAAAGAAATGTTGTTTTTCCTTTTTCGGCAGACTGTAATTCGTTGCAGTTGCCATGTGTATGTAGTTTTTTGATGTAACGTTTTAAGATTAAGTTGTAAATTGTTCATTAAGTGGTAATAGTGGTAGTGATAGTCGGATTAATGGCGATATTAGAGTAGTAATTGGGTTTTCTTCTGATACCTCAACAATAGTTATCGTTGAGATTGCTTGCATTTGCCGAATATGTGACCTCTCTGTCAGGCGTTATCAGTTGGATTTCTTTGACGCAAAGTCACAATCATAGTCCATGACTGCATCATCTCTTTGTATGACCCTTGGACACAACCATTTTCCCGTTGCGCAGTTTTGCATGACAATATCCGTCCAACATCCATTGAAAAAAAAAGATAAACAAAAAACAAAAGTCCGATCGCTGACTAATTCACGTGGGTGGCTCAGTTGATCACATGGCAATGAGGATAGTAAGCCCTTTTGAACGCGCACATTGCGAAAGGGCGATATCGGCTGAGGTCGGGGTTACAGCGGAGCCATTGCGCTCGTTTTTTGAACGATTTGACGCTGACACTGCCCATTGGAGGCAACTGCATTTCTTTCTGGACGTTAATACTGCTTCTACGCAAGAACATATGACGGAATAGGACGGCATCTTCCAAGTACGAGGGATTTAGCCGACGTTGCGTAACTACTTTGACTTTGCACCAAACATTTGCAATTCGAATTACATTCCCAGCCTTTTTCCCATGAGCACAAACCCGCCTATTGCACAAACAGAGACGCAGTCTTCTTCACCCGTCGATAACTGGGCGGATGACCGGAACACAACCTTTGGTGAGCGGCTCCAGCCAGTTGAACCTCACCCCGGGTTATCCAACGGTAGCTATTCCGACTATCGTGGCCCATTTGAAGATGATAGAAACGGAACTTGTAGTACAAGCCCGACCCGGTGGCCTGATTCGAATAGCTGGTCGTATGACTACAGATCCAATGGGGCTTGTTCTTCGGCTCCGTCTGCGGACGGCCGGTTGACGACTTTTATGGACGACCGACCTGGTTCTTTTGGACACTGGAATGGAGGGGAAAGGGACAAGTGGAGTACTTCTTCTGCTCAATCGATGATGAATTCGAGACAAGCGAGCGAAGGGACTGATGGGTCGGAAAAGTCTACAGGAGGGAGAGAAGTTGCAATTGATCCTGGCGGGGATGCGTTAAAGAGATTATGGGATTGGTCAGAGTCACAGAGACCGGGCCCTTTGGACCCTGGGGTGGGTCCCTATAATGCAGAGAATAGTCCGCGGCGTGCAACTACCAAACGAGAAACGATCGATTTGACTGATCTTCCCAGCGATGAAGTTGATGGGAATTCATCTGATGTAGTCTTTGTTGATGGTATGTCCGCTCAGTAATACTCTAATAGAGAAACAAGTTGATGATATTTTCCTTGTAGATTCGCCACTCCCACAAAAGCGCAAGGCAGAATCTATCAACTGCTACTCTCCACGGCGCCGCGTCGACTATCAGAGCGAATTTGGGCGTTCTGCTCCACCCATGAATTGTTTCGGACCAGGAAATCCGTACCACACACCACAACCCGTCAGCAGCGGTCCATTCAGCAAATATTCACATCCAACGCATCCCTATTACTTGCCACCTCCACGTCCGTCCCATCTCCCACCGCCGCTTTCAACGCCATTTACATCTTCCATCATGTCCCCACCTCGCCAATACTCCCAGCACTCTTCTCCCCTCCAACATCCGAAATCCGAAGTCCATGTAATAGATGACACATCACCTGCCCCTTACGAAGTGGTCGATTTAACAGATATTGATGCCTCGGAGGAAGCCAAACTGAAACGACGAGCTGCTAGTGAACCCAAATCCTCACTGTCGAGTCCCGAGATGGTGTGCTATGGGATTATTAGTAGCCTGGTTCAGCCTCTCAACTATGACGTATACAGACAGTGCAGCGGAACAGAAAAGTGCCTACGAGTGCGAATTGTTCCAGAGACGACTGGATCGTATACGAAACATGCTCTGCCGTTTCATGTGCTCACGCTGGATGGACAGAGGGTACGTCGAGGATTCAATTAGTTTCTATCCAGATTGTTTTCTTATCTCTCTATTGAATGATAGCTAGGGAAACTAAAGGAGGACGTCAGTTTGGCCCTTGCCCCGTTTTACCGAAGCTTGATATTGGAGGCAAACATTCCGCGGTATCAGCATAACGTAAGTAATTGGAAACAAATGTAGGCAGTCACGTAAAATTCACATGGTTGTTTTTCTCTCAATCCCAGAAATACACAGCACCGCTCAAATTGTTCGTCATTGGTCCCATCCAGCTTGCAGCAGCAATAGGCGCGATTCTCTCCCGACTCAATATTCAGCTGGAAGAGGTTAGCAAAACCTGTCAGCTCAAAGTCCGATATTTCAATCCGCAGAGAGCTGCGTCAAGTGCAATGGGACCCCCACTGGGTCTCCCTTGTGCCTTGTACCGACCCGAACGAGTAGCGCAAGCCACAAATGACGACGTCAAAAGTCAAATTGATGCCGTTTACATGTCCCTTACGGCAGCCGAGGATCTCCCCGAGGCTGAACCCGATAAACGATTATTGACTCCGTTATACAAGCATCAGAAGCAAGCTCTTCACTTTATGCTTGAGCGTGAGCGCCGTGTCGACTTTCGGGACTTGTCTCAGCGATCACGGTCGTTGTGGGCCTATGAAAACGGGAAATATCGGAATACAGTTACGGGTGACGCTGTGCACGTGGAGCCGGCTCAAGCATTGGGCGGTATATTAGCAGGTATGCAGTGAAATTTCGTCATGTTAATGTTGGTCATCGGTATCTGAGTCCGTTTTAAAAAAAAAACACAGATGACATGGGACTCGGCAAAACAATCGAACTGATTTCCCTAATACTTATAAATCAACCATCTCAACCTGTTCGCTACGAGCAACTCCAACATCGAAATCAGCGCACACCCGACCCGTACCCATTCCTCCCTGGCCGTCAAGTCCCACCCCCATCCCCACCACCCGTAGGAGGAGAAATTCCATCTCGTGCAACATTGATCGTCTGCCCTTTGAGTACTGTAGCGAACTGGGAAGAGCAGTTTGGATCCCATGTGAAGGAAGGTGCTGTTAAAATCTACGTATATCACGGTCCAAATCGGTGCCAAGATCCTACGGTGTTGGCCAATTATGTATGATCTCCTTGCGTATTATGGGTGAGGATTCGTGAATTTGGCGCTAATTCTTTGGTTCGTGTCTATTAGGACGTGGTTCTCACTACGTATAATGTGCTGTCACTGGAGTACGGAAAGGTTTGTTGACCAAAAGTTATCCTGGCACTTTAGCGCCGCAGCAGTGTTAAATTTCGATGTATTTGTACATAGAACCAGAAAGCTCGATCAAAGCAAGTCGATTCGTCTGCTCCCCAGTCTCCGCAGTCTCCCTTGCAGTCTGTTTATTGGTTACGTATTGTCTTGGTGCGTGGAGGGATGCATTCGATCAAGTGAGACGTTCTACTCATTGTACAATCCTTTGTCAGGATGAGGCTCATGTGATCAAAGAACGGAGTACGCATCAAGCGAAGGCTGCATGTGCCCTGAGAGCTGAAAGACGTTGGTGCCTGACGTGAGTGTCTTGATGCTATGATTGTACTCGGGCGTCCATTTGCTGATATCCTTGCTTTTATTGTGTTGCAGGGGAACACCGATTCATAATAAGATCGACGGTACGTGTAATGCTCAAACCGTCCTCTGGTTAGATGCAGACCCTTATACTATCTCTTGTGTAGACTTGTTTAGCTTGTTGAGATTCTTGGGATTGGAGCCGTTCAACCATTGGAGGGACTTTAGTCATTTCATCATGAAGCCTCTGAAAAATCGATCCGAGGTTGCTGTCTCGCGGTTACAGGTGAGGTCCCGCCACGATCGTAGAGTACTACATGCCGCACTATCTCACGCACACATGATCCATCTCTGTCTACAAGACGGTCATGAAACTCATCACTCTTCGTCGAACCAAACATCAAATGATTGATGGCAAACCTATTTTGTCTCTCCCACCAAAGAACATTTCCGTCTTCAAACTCACCCTTGACGCATCCGAACAAGCACTCTATGACCGGGTCTATGAGCGGGCGCGTAACGTTTTTCAGGAATTGGACGATTCAGGTCGGGTGTTTAAGCATTACGCTACACTCTTGGAGCTTTTGCTGCGGCTGAGACAAGTTGTGACGCATCCAGCCTTGTACCGCGATCAAGGGGACGTTGGTAGGTTCTTGAATTGTATTTGTGTGACCTTTTGAATGGAATGCTCAAGCCTTAGTCGCTTGACCAGGCGAGACGATTGGAGAAATGGAAAAAGGCGAGGATATGCCTGTCCTAACATCCGAAAGGGCGGCGCATCTATTGTCACTCCTTCGAGACGCGGGTGATGACAAGTGCTGTGTGTGTTCCCTGTCGGTTGACGGTGGTGGTGAAAGGACGGTTGTCGTATCGCGGTGTGGGCACATGTAAGTTGTTCAGACTAGGGTTACTTGTCAAGATGGAGTCTAATGTCCGGTTGGCTAGGTTTTGTAATGAATGTGTGCGTGCCGTTCTTGGGGAAGGAAAAGAAGGGATGGCGTGTCCCATGTGCCAATCTCGATTAGGAAAAGCGGATTTGAAAGAAATCAAGGATATTGACGCGGTGAGTTTGTATTCTTTTTCTGTAAAACATGTAAACCATATCTGACTAGCTTATACAGGCACAAGGGATCGATGACGCCTTTGCAGCAGCTGTTGCAGCAGCCCATCACAATGCCCCTGGAGAGAGCTCTCCGCCAGGCATGAGTACCAAAGTCCGCACACTGTTGAGTGATTTGATCCAAGTACGGTCAGAGTATACTCAAAGGGGAGAAGCACCTATCAAAGCCGTTGTATTTTCCCAATGGACCAACATGCTCGACCTTTTGGAGCCCTCACTGCGAACGTATGGATTTGGGTTTGTTCGACTGGATGGGAAAATGTCGCGGCAGGACCGGACAGACGCGATGGAAAGCTTCAAGACGGATCCCTCTGTGACCGTCATGCTCGTCTCTCTCAAAGCAGGCGGAGTAGGCCTCAATCTCACATCAGCCTCTCGTGTGTACATTCTGGAACCGTACTGGAACCCCGCAGTCGAAGACCAAGCCCAAGACCGTGTCCACCGCATGGGACAAACCCGTGAAGTACACGTGATTCGATTTGTGGTGGAAGGCACGATTGAGGAAGTCATTGAAGCGCTCAAACGAAAGAAACGGGAACTGGTGGCTACCGCGTTCCGAGAGCGGACGATTGGGGAGGAAGGTGTTGTTGAGGCTGGAAAGAAGGGACGGCGCAAGGGTACGAGTGCAAAGGACAAGGAGGAGATGCAGCAGCGGAGGTTGAATGATCTGAGAGCCTTGTTTGGGTTCAAGGATTCAGTGTGATGCTTTGTTAGTTGGTTTGATTTTGATGTGTATATTTCTTTTTTATTCTTTTTATGGAGAGTGAGGGAGAAGGGACAATTATTTGTGAATAGTCTTTTGTAAAAGGGTTGATAGTATCCATCTGTGCAAGCATCCCGAGTACAGTAGATGAGAGCCTCGTGACAGCACGTGAATGTTCCAAAGCCACGTGACAGATAAGTCTTGTTTATCTTCTAGTTATCTCGAGAGGGAGACGTTATCTCTGGGAGACAGCGAGGATGGCGGGGTTGGGAGCGTTTTTTATCAGCGGGTTTTACGATGGCAGATAAGATGCTTTGAATGGTTGCTGTGTTTTGTCTTGTAAGATAAGATATGGGGAAATGGAAGGGGGATACATGCATATACGACGCATATATAAAGTGCAGATTGATCTTTTGTCCCCCACCAGCGACAGTTCCATTGCATTTTCCACACGTCTTTTTCTTTTAATTCTTTACTGGTCAAGAACAGCCATTGTTGGAAATCTGCTCTTTCCAAAATGCCACCGTCGGTTGCCGAGTACGCTTCCTATCCCGTCCGCGAACGCGTCGTCGTTTGTGGCTTGGGCATGGTTGGACTCCGATTCTGCGAAAAGCTGATTGAATTGGATGTGGACAGGCGGTTTGAGCTCCATATATTTTGTGAAGAAGATGTGGTTGCGTACAATCGGGGTAAGCTTTCTCTCCTTTATGATTGGGCGAGATGGAAAACTTACTTTCTTTCTAGTCAACCTCACATCATGGTTTACGCATCGGGCGGTGAAAACGCTCATTATCCAACATCCCGAGTGGTACACTGCTCAAAACATTACCATCATCATGTCCAAAGCCACTCACATTGACACCACGGCCAAGATTGTGACGGGCGAAAACGGGATGAGCGTACCCTACGATCACTGCATCTTGGCAACGGGATCAGAAGCCTTCATGCCGCCAATTATCGGAAAAGAGCTAAAAGGCGTCCATGTCTATCGAACAGTCAAGGATTTGGAACTCATTGTTGCATCCGCCAAAGACAAAAAGGCGGGAGTGGTGATTGGAGGAGGGCTGTTGGGACTTGAAGCCGCCAAGGCATGTGTGGATCTTGGTCTAAAAACAACCGTCATCGAACGGAACCCGTGCCTATTGAACAGGCAATTGGATATGGAAGGTGCCCAACTGTTGCAAAATGAAATGAGCAAGATCGGCGTCATGTGCCGTGTGAATGCCAATATTCGACGATTTGTCGGACAAGATGTCAATGGTCAAGAGCTGGACAGTGTCACGCAGGTGATTGTCGATGATGAGGAGAGAGTCGATGCCGATGTCGTGGTGGTTGCGGCTGGCATTAAGCCAAGAGATGAGTTGGCAAAAGCGAGCGGGATTCTGACACATCCGAGAGGAGGTGTCCTTGTAGATGATGAATTAAAGACCAGCGCAGAAGGGGTTTGGGCTATTGGCGTGAGTATCTGCTTTCAATCGGTACAATTTCGAGATGGTGTAAAATGACTAATGTTGTCTTATTGCTTTTAGGAATGCGTTGTGCACGGCGGAATGGTCTACGGACTTGTCGCACCAGGATACGAAATGGCCGAAACGGTCGCCATCAATCTCGTCAATGGACCTCAACGCACGTTCACCGGAGCGGACATGTCTACCAAACTCAAACTTTTAGGCGTCCATGTAGCAAGTTTTGGCGATTACTTTGCCGACCCCGAAATTTGTTCTCCTCTCGTTTACCGGGATCCATTTGCCGGAATTTACAAACGCCTGTTGTTTACCAAGGACGGCACAAAACTTCTCGGTGGTATCCTCGTAGGTGATACGTCGGATTACACCCGCTTCCTCTCGTTCTCCAAATCGGGAAAAGTCCTCCCATCACCTCCTGGTGAACTGATCCTTGGCAAAAAGGCTGACGAATCCAACGATGACCTTCCCGACGATGCCCAAGTCTGCTCCTGCAATAACGTTTTGAAAAAGGATATTGCTGATGCCGTCTCGAAGAAGGGGTGTTGCTCTATTGCGGACGTCAAGACCTGCACCAAGGCGGGTACCGGGTGTGGAGGATGTCTCCCCCTCGTCACAGACATTTTCAACGCTGAAATGAAAAAGAGCGGAAAAGTTGTTGAAGTGTTTTTGTGTGAGCATTTCAAGTATTCACGACGAGAGTTGTTTGACATTGTAAAGGTCAGAAAGATTAGAACATTCAAAGAAGCTATGCGGTCCTGTGGAACTGGTGGGAATGGTTGTGAGATTTGCAAACCCACGTTTGCATCCATCTTTGCCTCGCTCTGGAACGACCATATCCTCGTCAAGCCGCATGCTCCCCTCCAGGACACAAATGATCGATACCTCGCCAACATCCAGCGCGGTGGATCTTACTCTGTTGTCCCCCGAATCCCAGGAGGAGAAATTACACCAGACAAACTCTCTGTCATTGGCGCTGTCGCATCCAAATACGGTCTCTACACCAAGATCACTGGAGGGCAGCGTATCGATCTTTTTGGCGCACCCAAACATCTCCTGCCCTCCATCTGGGAAGAGCTAGTCAAGGCTGGGTTTGAATCCGGCCATGCATATGGCAAAGCTCTCCGAACGGTCAAGAGTTGCGTCGGAAGCACGTGGTGTCGATATGGAATAGGCGACTCTGTGGGTCTCGCCGTTCGCGTCGAAAACAGATACAAGGGAATCCGATCACCACACAAACTCAAGGGCGGTGTATCAGGCTGCATTCGCGAATGCGCTGAAGCGCAATCGAAAGATTTTGGTCTGATTGCCACTGACAAGGGGTACAACCTCTACGTGTGCGGAAACGGCGGGTCGAGTCCCAAACATGCTGTCCTCCTCGCCGGCGATGTTAGCGAGGAGATGGTGATCAAATATCTGGACCGCTTCTTGATGTTTTATATAACTACCGCGGATCGGTTGCAGCGGACTGCAAGGTGGTTGGAGAAGCTGGAAGGAGGTATTGATTATCTGAGGAGTGTGGTCGTGGATGATCGTTTGGGCATTGGGGAGGAATTGGAGATGCAGATGCAGTACTTGGTTGATACGTATCAATGGTGAGTATCGGGCAAGTCTAGGAATTTTGGTTCCAAAAGGCCCGAAACTGATTAATTTTTTAAAAAGTGAATGGAAAACAGTCGTCGAGGATCCTGTTCGCCGAGCGGAATTTGCTCAATTCGTCAACACGCCCGAAAACGAAGTTGTCATTGACACCATAACTGAGCGAGGACAACGACGACCGGCCAATTGGCCCAAAAAGGTTGAAAAGTTACCTCTTCCGGTTTTCACCAAGCCAGCCCAGCCGACCGTTAGTAAAGAAGAGGAGTGGATCCGTGTGGGTTCGGTGACAGACTTTCCTGAAGAAGGCGGTGCGACCGTCAAATACGGGCAGACCCAATTGGCCGTCTTTAGGATGGAAATCGATGGCGAGACAAAGTGGTTTGCTACTCAAAACGTAGGTGGTTTCCCTATAAATGTTAAAATGGCTTCAAATCAAGCTCACATTGTAAAAACACTTTTTGCTTCTTAGATGTGTCCACACAAGCGTGCCTTTGTCCTATCTGGATCCCTAACCGGCACCCAAAAGTCCATCCCAAAAATCTCCTGCCCAAATCACAAGAAAAACTTTTCTCTCGTTGACGGCTCATGTCTCTCGGGTGAAGACTACTCGGTTCGCACCTTTTCTGTCAAGGCAGACGACAAGGGCGTGTGGTTGCTCTTACCCTCTGTAGAGACTCTCGATGCAGAGCTTGGAACAGGATTATGGATGATTCGAGAAGGGGATGACGTGAAGGCGGACGGTGGAATTGAAATTGTGAATTCGGGATGTGCGACAGGATGTGGAAAGAAAGAGTTGGAGTGGTAAAACATTGGCAGTGGAATATTTATATATTTTTTTTGCGATGGGGGAGGGGAGGTTTCTATTACGGATTAGAAACACTGCATTTTTTTGTCCATATACCCTTGTGCATATCCGATATTGAAATACATTGACATGACTTACATCTTGTGTAGCAATTTAGTCTGTATGCCATGAATCGTTGTGCTGAGCACACTGTCGACACATCTGCCCACTCACATACGCCCTGCCCTGCATCGCAACAGTGCATCGCTGCCTTTTGAAGCCTCAAGGGCATCTACAAAGGGCTTGGTACCCTCACAGACCTAAAGCTGATATGAATTACCAGTTCACCCAATGTCGCGAAATCGAGCAAGTTTATCGGGTTGTCAATCGGTGGATAAATGCTCGACTGGCCTTTGTGAACCAACACACTTTTAAAAGAAAAACCATCAAGATCTTTTTTGAATTCGTCGTCATGAACGCCCCCCCACAAACGCCGACGACGGACGACAAAAACGACGACAAAACCGCAAACACTTCACATCCAACCGCGCGTGTTCAACAAAATAAAGGAGCTACGCCCCAAAGGACGCCCATTTGCTTAAAGACGAGAACGCCCAACCCTGTTCAAAAACGCCCATCATCAAAAAGAAACGCCCGCAAACAAAACACTTTCAAGGACACACTTACTCCTGCACACACGACCCAACAAAACGACCAAAGAAACGCGCGACATGACAAAAGTACCCTTTTTTATTGGGTAAGGGGAATCGCAAAGTCAGCGCCCCGCCCCGCCCAAAGAACCTCGTAAACCATTTTTTCAAAAAAAAAAACTTGGTTTAATGGGTGAACGCCCATCCATGAAATACCAAAGATGGGGGGATGGGCATGGGGGGATGGAGTTGAGCCCCCACATCTAAATGTAGGCGGAAGGTTGATAAGATGCCGGGGGGTTTGGATGGGCGTAATGGAGAAAGGTTCCTAGTGTGCAGGTTTTGGGTCTACTATAAAAATAAGGGCAGTTGAGCTCTCACCCCTCCACACAAAACCCCAAACCGTAAAAAAACCCAACCAAAAACAAAAACAGAACAAAATGTCCACCCAAAAAACCACCTTCCTCCTCAACTGGGCACCCACTCCTTACCACATCCCCATCTACCTCGCCCAAAAACTCGGTTTCTTCACCCGCGAAAACCTCACACTCGCCATCCTCGAACCATCTGACCCCTCCGATGTCACTGAACTCATTGGGTCCGGCAAGATTGATATGGGCTGTAAAGCCATGATTCATACCATTGCCGCCAAAGCCCGTGGATACGGCGTCACTAGTGTGGGTACGCTCTTGGATGAGCCTTTTACGGGTATTGTCTATTTGAAGCATCAGGGACGGATTAGCGAGGATATCGCTAGTTTGAAAGGAAAAAAGATTGGGTATGTTGGTGAATTTGGGAAAGTTATTGTGGATGAACTGATGAGGAGGTTTGGAATGAGTGAACAAGACTATACTGGTTGGTATATACATTTTGGAAAATTTAATGGGGTTGAACATTGTCTCCCATTTAGAAAAATATCTAAACCACAAAAATCCATAGCTGTTCGAGTAGGAATGAACGTCACATCCGCCCTCATCAACTCCCAAATCGATGGAGGAATCGGCCTCGAAAACATTCAACAAGTACAACTCGAACACCATTCCGCCAGCCTCGGCCTCCCCCCTTCCAACGTCGGTATGCTCCGGATCGACGAACTAGCAGAACTCGGTTGCTGCTGCTTCTGTTCCGTCCTCTACATTGCCAACGACACTTTTATTAAAAATCATCCTGAAAAGGTGCGAGGGTTCATGCGTGCCGTTCGCTCAGCAATGGACTTTATCCTAGCCAACCCAAAAGAAGCCTGGAAACTATTTGTGGAAATGAAACCCGCCATGGATTCTCCTGTCAATCACAGCATGTACGAGAGGAGTGCAGTCTACTTTTCAAAGACGGGTGAAAATGTTCATCGGGATTGGGCTAAAGTGACCAACTATGCGAAACATTTGGGTGTGGTGCAAGAGGGATTCAAACCTAATTATACGAATGAATTCGTCCCAGATTTGGGGGATATGAAAGAAAAAGTGCTTGTAGAAGAGGATGGAGTTGGTGTTGGCAAAGATGGAGAGGATATCGTGTCCCGTTGATAACGATGGGATGGTTTTTTTTTTTTACATACGAAACTTGTTGTTGTTGTTGTGAGAAATGCGAGGCTTGTCTGGCATAGCGTACAGATATGAATGCAAATGGTCGAAGTGTCCATATCCCTGCTTGGGACGACCGATAACGAGTTTTTTCTATTTTGTATCTCATCTGAAAAAAAAACAAAAAAGGCATCCAGATCCCATCCGTACTATATACCCTATCCATAAACCCATCCATAACAACACAATTCTCCAATACAACGATACCGACAGCCTCTACTAGTATACAACATCTAAATGTACAAATCTATCGAAATATCTAGTTTAGCAACAAGATAATACCCTCCTTTGTATACAAAACGTCCTAATATACGCCCAAGGTACGCAACCAAGCTCACATCAACAACGATGATAGCACCATCCATCCCAATACAACAGCCCATCTGACGTCCACATTAACCCGGCTCCCCGCACTCTTCCCAGTAAGACGTAACGAATTCGCAACCTGTCCTGCAGAAATCGCCAAACCCGTCCGGGAGGCCCCGAAATCAAACACGGTATAAAAATGTCTCAAAAACAGGGCACCGAGAATCACATCCACGTTAAGGTTTGATGTAGATGCCGCGTAAATAAGGAAACATGTTCCATCGACGACAAAGACTTGTTGTTCGGCAAAGAGTGTAATGCGCCTCTGGCCAATGTGGAATGTGACGGGTGGTATACGAGAGACCTTGTCACACGGGATTTCATATAGGCTCTGGTTCGGGAGTTGCTTGGCGTTCGCGGCTAGTACAATAGCTGATAGTGTGTCCGATGGTATTATGGCCAATGTCGTACCAGTATCAAAGATGGCCATTCCTGTTCGGTTTTGTGTTAATGGCGCAGAATCTAATGTGATGCCCTCAAAGGTAGTTGACCAGTGATTGCGCCCCGTGATTGGAATGGGAAACCAAGTAAAGCTTCCAGTAAATTTGCTCGAATCCATGCCGCCAAAGGTAATCTGCCCGGCATTTGTGTCGGAAAACTGCCGGGACTGGTTGTACCAGAAGCTGGCAACCGGCTTGGATATTGTTTTGCTTGCTATCATGTTCCTGAATACGTCCGTAGCGGCTGAGTATCCAGAGGCAAAAGTGGGTAAGAATTCTTTAGCATGCATTTTGGAAAGACGTGTTTCACATACTGTCTGCTCCTGGGGGACCTAATCCGATCAATCCGTCAGAGGATCCAGTTGTTGTCTGGATCACATCAGCTTCGCAGAGAGTCTGATTGGGTATAACCAGGGTTCCCAGCATAACGGTATCCTACACGAGATCCAATCTTGTTAGCTCAACCGATTTCAATCTCCAGATATTCGCGCATGCCGTACCGCTCCCAGTTGACATTCTACTTTTGTGTTATCCCCATATACGATCGACCTTCTTTGTGGCCCTGTCAATGCCGTCGCCGGTGCCGGAGGGAGATATGACGTGCTCTTTGTATTATCATAGACAGGTTGCCCAGAGCAACTTGTGCCTCTACATTTCGAGCTTCGCAGCCAAAACAAGCTGGATCCAGTGTCAATTTGCACTGCCATGACTTGAGCAGGCGTCCCAACACCAATGGTGGTAATGAGCTATAGAACGTAGTAAAGCAACGACTTAGTTGTATTGACCCAGATACGATTTGCTGACGAAAAGTGAAAGACGTCAACACCGTACCGTGTGGGAGACGCTGTCTGCAATAACAGTCGTTTGTCCAGTCACATTCGCGTCCAGAGCTTTCTGCTTCAACTGAAAGTTCAGACTAATCAAGCCAAGAGTTAGCGTTCTCTCTTGCGGACACCATTGTGACAGTTCCAAATTGCTCGGCCGTACCTGACAATGCCAACCTTTCGACTCTTTGGATTGCGGGGTATTGACAGGACGTTTCTCGCGTCGACATGTTGCACGAGCACGAGCACGACAAGAAACCATACTGCCCACCCGTACATGCTCGACAAGACCGCTCTACAGACCAAAAACCCAAAACCCAAATGCAACGACCGGAAGTACAGACGACGACGAAACGCTCAAGACGGGGGACGGGGGAGCTCTCCAAATAAAACTCAGCAACGGAATCTCATTTAACTGTATATGGCAATCATTTCATTTGACGTGCTTACGACATGATTATCTAACGTGCGGTCAAGAGTTTCAATTCAAAAGTAGGAGTTTTTCAAAGTTATTTTTTTGTATTTACAAAGATACATGTTGGGGTTTTTTATTCTTCATCGTCGTCGTCCTGCGCACCTCCCCGAGCCCGTCCACCTTTCCTTCCTGCTTCTCTAGCCTCTTCGGAAGTGAATTCATGCGCATGTCCACTTGCATGGGCGGCTTTTCCTCCCATTGAAGCAATCTCGCGCTGTTTCTCGGGATCCATTGAAGCGAATCCACCAGAGTGACTGGCATGTCCGCCCTTGGCCGCTATTTCACGTACTTCTTCCTTGGGGCGGTTCGCAAAGTTTCCGGCTGTTAACGGGGAAATATGCGATAAAAATAAGCCGAGAAAGTTTCATTTTGATGCGCAGTTTCAATCAAAATACTTACGGTTGTTGGCAGCCGATGAGTGACTGGCGTGTCCTCCCTTTGAGGCAATTTCTCGCACTTCTTCCTTGGGACGGTTGGCAAAGTTACCGGCTGCTCAAAAACAAGGTTTTAAGTTGCAATACATATTTTTGCAATTTTGAATCAATGGACTTACGGTTGTTGTTGGAGGTCGACATGATTACAAAGTGCAGTGATTGGGGTGTGTTGGGTTAGATGTGAGATATCCTCTTTTGCGCACGTTTTTGAGTTTCAAGGTTGATAAGAGGAATGGTTCGACCTGTTTTGCGGCTATTTAAGCACATCAGTCTTTTGAAGGTCAAGCCCGGACTCCTTTGGACGATAACTCTACAAGACGTCATGTCTCGTCATTTTCTTTTTTTTCCGTCTCTGTGCCGGTTTTACGCCATGATGATGCATAAATGTTTTTGGGTTCATGATGGGCTGCGTGGTGGGGCCCTTTTGCATCTCCAAAGTTTCAGTGGTTATTTCCTTCCCAATTGTGTGTGTTAAGTGATGTGTGTAATGTGATGCTGGAAAGGGATGTTTACGAGGGCGGGGCGCGTTTGCTTGCAATCCGCCCTTTTTACTAGAAAGCCCTTACTTTTCCCTTTTTTTGTTCTTCAATTCTTCCATTGGATCCAATAAAAAGTGGGGGGGGGGGGGGGGTGGGCGGTAACTTTCATGCCACTCTTGTGTTTGTTCCAATGGGTTGTCCTGATGTTGAAATGATGATCATGATGATGGCATTTGGAGAATCGCGTCGTGTGGAGTGTTCCTTTTGGTGGGCTTTACTTTTTCCACCCACCCATTTGCCCCCCCAATGGCATCGAAAACTTGCGGAATAAATATCTGTAATCCCATATAAAAGACAAAGGGGGAAGCATCCGGCCGGTTCACATTTGCACTGCCTTAAAAACAAACAAGAGTATTGCAAAACCTACATTTTACCACTATACAAGTCTATCCAATCCACAAACTACACAAATGCCAGCACCAAAGAACCCCTCTCACGCCGGCTCTGGCGGATATCCCTACGGCGAACAGGAACCCACTCTCGCCGTCGAACGCGAAGACCCCGGCCTTATTGGCTCCTTTGACAGGGAATTCAAGGATGAGGCAGAAACAGGTGAACATCCCAACGACTTTGGAACAGGACAAAACAGGGGATTTGCTAGTGAGAATTATCCCCATGAGAAACATGTACGTTCATATCCGTTCATGTTGGAAGAGCAACCTCAGTGTTTGTGATTGACAAGATTTGTTGTTTTAGGAGGAGATTTCAAGGAAGGGTGGCCATAATTCATCCAAAGGGACGGCCAAACCGACTCCCAACCCGCACGAAAACTTGGACAACGTCCGAGAATAGAGGAGGATGATCGGGTTGAATGACGAGGGTTGAAGTTTCTTGTATAAAAGTGTTTTTTTTTTTTTTTTTTGGCGGGCAGGTCTTAAATAAAAAGTGTTGGCTGCTGTTTAAACCACGTTTCTTGTGTTTTTTGGCAATTGCCGTTCTGAATGTTCTCGTGTTTTTGAATGCACGCAAAAACTTGTTACCTTGTTCACTGGGTTGAGGTGGAGAATGGGTAATGCAAATCATGTTCAATGCATTGGCAAAAACGAGCTCGGTTAGATCTCCACAAATTGAACCTTCATAACCAGACCATCACCCTTGTTGAAAAATCCATAAAGCATGGCCTTTGAGCTGAGACTCGAAGATGCTCCACCACCTAAAACCCCTGCAGGCCATTCAAGTGATCCATTTACGACATTTCACATTTAGAGAGGTTGTCTCAACTATGAACACAGTTCACCCAGAGTTCACGGTCGTTCTGGGTCATTTTCAAGGCCAGAGTGTTGCCTTCCCATCAAAGTAGGAATAAGAATATTATTCCGAAGGCCATCGTCAGTCCACATATATTATGCGTCAAACTGCAAGAGGCATTTGAACATCCATTTACCAGAACCCAGTCCCAATTTCTCTCTAACAGTCCCGCATTACAGATGACGATTACGGATTCTTTTCGTTATTCAAACCATCTCCAACGAACACCTCGTACACCATTCAATCAAAGAAAGCCTTTGTCCATTAATACCCTATTACACCCTTCCGTCATCATTCAAAAAACAGTTATTTTCCATTGGACAAGTCATCGAAAAGTAGTTTTTCCGAATCGACGGACGCGCTTAACCACCCACATTAGGGCTTGTCGTCGCCTTCTTTACCCCACTCAACATCATACCTTTAAGGTGAAGTCATGGTGACCCAACAGCAAAGGTTTTTTAAAGACGAGATGTTTGCATCATTGTTGGGTGACGCTATATGGTTTTGTTGAGCCCATTATCCCAGTGCTTATTAAATATAAACCACAAATGTGAGGTTTCCACTCTTGACTCTCGTACTTTTGAGCACTTTGAACATCAAAACACTCTATCAAACACCACCACCATGTCATCCAACAACCAGGTAAAGAAAATACATCTCTTCACTCAACACACATCCAAACCAACTCTAACAACCAAAAAAATAAAAGGAAAACCAAGCCTACCAAGACAGGGACCAAGTCCCAACAACCTATTCGGAACCCGCCCACAACACCCGATCCCAAAACCCCATGCCAGACGAAAAACCTTTATCGCAGACTGCAACAAAGGAGGATGAGATTATTACTTATGGAGGTCGGCAGGGGTTTGCGAGTATGAAGGAGCGGGATCCGGAGCGACAGGTTTGTTTTTGCTTTGTTTTTGTTTTTTGTTCAAGGTATTAGTTTTAACTCTTGGTTTACAGAAGGAGATTGCTTCAAAGGGTGGATCTGGGGCGAGGGGTTAGGAATGGATCTAAAAGTTGTAAAATGTATCGGATGATTGGATTGTTAAACAATGCGCAATCAATAACTGTAAATGTCGTATAAATATTGGTTTGCATGGTTTATTGGACACTTCTGCTCTTCATGAGCTGGAAAGCAATGTCGTAATGCGTAACCAACCATGGTGCGAACGGACAGTCGGTCGCATTGTAAGCCAGGTCTTCAAGCATAAAGTTGATTGGGCGCTACGCAGTCGCCTCACTGAGCTACCCATAACGAATACTCCCTTGAAATCCACACAACACAACTCGCGAGAAGCAATAAATCGCACATGAAAAAGAAAGATGAAGAAACCAACACGTATTCACCAACATCAAAAAAAACGCCGTACCATCTTGCATAAACAGAATCCCACTCTATGATATACATTACACACACCATTGATTACACACACACACACACACACACACACCGAGAGAGCCCACCAGCTTATCGCCCAGCACGCTGTCCCTGTCCTCTCCCAGAACGCCCGCCCCGTCCGCCTCTTTCACCCCCATATGCACCTTGGCGTCCACCCCGTCTTTCACCCCCACGGTACCCACCATGCGCTCTCTCGCCACCACGTGACCTGAAATCTCTCTGCTGCTGCTGTTGCTGCAAACCAAGCAACATGGACCGACTCTCCAGGAGCTTTTCATTGGACTCTACAAAACTGCTCACCTTGTCCGCGTATAGACCTGCCAAGAATTCCAGGCGAGATGTCTCGACACCCGGTCCGGCACGGTGCAGGACGACAGAGTTTGTCGGCTGGTCAATGGAGGCATGCAGTTCTTCGTTGATGATCATGCGGGAGACGGTGGCGCGGACTTGGGGTACGGGAAGCGAGAACATGGAGGCGAGTTGCTCAATGCCCAGGGAATCGTAGTAAGGGGAGTAGGTGAAAAAGTACGTCCGGAGACCCTCTTCTTGAATCTTTTCGGTGAGCATTTCCTTGATCTTTTCCGTGTTGGGCACGAGATCCCAGATCTTAATGGCGTGGATCAAGTCCCGGCAGCGCTGCCATTCGCCGGCGGCCAGGGCTTTCGCAGCGCCCATAATGTGGTCGCGCGTGTTTTCTGGGGGGCCTATGTAGGTGGACACATTTAGTTGGTTTCCATCAACAAACCCACAGAATGGAAACACAGCATCACACATACCAGTAAAGACTTGACGCTCATTGTAATCCAACATTCTCCGGAATGGTTTGCTAATCACCTTGCGACGGGGTTCGTGCGCATTGGCGGCCATGTTTGGAATCTCCAGCAACATGGAGCACGTTAGGTAAACGCATTCCAGCAATTCCAGGTTGATGTGCATGTGGAAAGGCAATTGCCGTTGCTTTTCCAGTTTCTCTTGTTCGGGCGTCTTGTCAGAGTACTTTTGCAGCTGCACACCCTGAGCCAACAGTTCCTTGACCTTTCCAGATGACGAAATTTCTTGCAATGCGTTGGCGGTTTCCTTGACCATTCCACATCGGAAAGCACACAAACCAATCTGCGCCATGGTCCGGTTGAAAAGGATCTGGGTAGATACCTCTGTTTGCGCCACGTGGTCCTGAAGGTGAGACATGAGCATCATGTCGCGCGCCTTTTCAAACTTGTCATGAAGGGCGAGGTGGTACACATGGCAGAGAAGTGAGCGTGTTCTAATGCGGTCCGTGCTGGTCTTGTACAAGCTTGTGCACAGGTGATCGACCAGTGCCACAGGCTCCTCAAGCGCCTCGTTGAGAGCGGGATACAGGTTCCGGACTTCCTTTTCGACGGCCTGGATGACCGCGTCAGGTTTGTAGTACAAGTGCTCGACGCGCCGCATCTTTGTATGGTCCACAGCAAGGTCAAAGTCAATGCGCTCAAAGTACTTTTGGGCGCGGACAATGAGAGCGTAAAGGACAGTCTCATCCCTCAATCGGTTGATGTAATCCAGGGTATGGGGGTCAATGTGCTGGAGGGATTTGGTGAACTCGTCGTCGATACGGTCAATCAATGAGCTCAAGCTGGCCCGGATCGTTACAGTGTCCGCATTCTTAAACTTTTCTTCAGCAACATCCTCCTCGTCCTCTTCCTCCGACATTTCGACGATGCGAATGTTGGTGTGCTCCTCAAGGTAGCCAAACAATTGGTTCAGCTCTCCTGAAGCACTCTTCCACACGTCCACGGCCATGTAACCTGTCGAAGATGGGGCAGAGTCGAATCGCGAGGGAACGAGGGCAAGAAGGACTTTGACCTTTTGGTAGGGGGTACTGGCAACTTCCAAGATGCGCTCCAAATGTTGCATTTGCAGTTGACGATCAGTAGACTGAAAATCAAGCATGTTATTAGCATACAAACAATAAAACAATATGCAGTAGTGAGATGTACACACCTTTTTACCACGAGCCTCAATGATCTCCCTCAGTTTTTTGAACAAGTTTTCAGGCTTGACATCAAAGACTTTTCCACCTTTGCCGACCACCTGGAAATCACCCGGCTCCCCCTTTTCCTCAGCAGCCGCGGCTGCGGCTTTGGATCCCTTCTTCTTTGTTCGCTGCTTGGGTTTCTCAAACTCGTCTGTTTCTGAGTCTCCGCCCTTGACCCACTTTGAGCGACCTGCCGGCTTCTCGTCTTCTGACTCATCTGAAGACTCATCCTCGGAGCTAGCCTCTTGGGCTGCCTTTTTCGCAGCTTCGTCAGCAGACGCTGCCTCCGTCACAGGGTTCTATGGACAAGGATTAGGACAAGAAGGACAAGGCATAAAAACATTCCCACACAAAACTCGACACATACCGCGCGCCACTTTTCAATATCTGCTTCGTGCTGTTTGTTGTGCTTGCGCAACTTTTGCTTCATGGCATTCAACGCACGAGATGACGATGCATTCATTTTTTTGATTGCATCCTTATTTGTCAAGGTTTCCTTCAAAAAGTCTTCCAGTTGAGCAATGGCTCGGATGTAGAATCGTGGCACGCCTTCTCGCTGAATGATGGCGTTAGCCTTTGAGTAGGCCTTGTTCAGCTTTTCAAACTCTGCAGATAGAGATCAGCGAGAAGACGAGTTGGCGTCATTCAGTTGCAGTTCCTACCATTTTGAATGGCAACCCAGTCATTGATCTTTTCAGCATTCTTGAGAGCCTTTACAGAGTTCCGCATATCATCAAACCGCTTGTCTCTTGCAGATTTGACGACCCGCTTTTTGTCTTCTGCGTCACTGTCATCCGAGTCTGATCCCGCAAACCCACGCATAAATCGGCTCGCACCACCCGCTCCTTTTCTCGGCGCATTTTCGTCCGAGTCCGAATCGGATGAGCCGCCATCGTCTGAGCTGGCGTCGGAAGCATTCTTGCTGCTGCGTTCGTCTTCAGAAGACGAAGAGGAAAAGTCTGACTCTGACTCTGATTCAGAGCTGGACTCTCCGCCACGAAAGAAACGGGACATTATATCGCACTAGGGGATGAACAAGGTGGAATTCGAGTGCAAGCCCGTACACACAGTCCGTGAAGCGAGGCGAGCCTAAGAAGAGAGAGTGCGTATGTGTGGGATCTCTTGGCAGAAATGTGCCCGTCGAGTCCTCGAATAATTCGTTAGCAACAATCCCTAGCAGCCTAGCAGCAGCAGCAGCCCAAATGCCCAACGCATCAAATCGTCTCGTCCGAAAAAAACAATTCGAATGAACGCAGCTGAATGGCACAGAAACTTTCCCACTTTTAATTGCCATAGCAACGAATATGGTCACGTGCATTTAGTCAATGATGTATCACGTGTTCAACCGACTCTGTTGTGGAGCGCTTATTCCCCACAAAAGAATTGCTACAATGGGCTTCTAAACTACTCTACGCGGCAGTGTTCGAGGCGAGCTCTACGAATGCCCTGCCGTCTTGTCACTCTGCTTCTGCTTATCTTTACAGTTGCAGATTTCTTCCGGCTTGAGACCTGCGAGGGCTTGGTCAATATGCTGTCCGCATCCTGTGTTGCGAGAGAGGTCAACATTTCGGACGCAAGCAAGAATGTTGACAGCAAGGACTTACCAGCCCACGTATACTTGTCGCACTTTTCACATTTCACACGACGACACATTTTGATCAAAGTTTCAACGGGCAAATGAGGAGGGAGAGATGTGTGGAGAAGAACGACGGGCAATGGGAACAAGTCATGGTCATCAGACCCTGAGGTCATCAACAACGTCACGTGACGCGTCCATAGCAAGTCCGAGCGTTCTTGTGGAGTATGGATGAGTGTCATCTGTAGGCCCTGGCAGCCCTGGCGAGCGACGTCCTACGGCCTCTTACGGGCCTTGTTTGGAAGCAAATGGATTTATGCATTCCAGTTCACGCACAAAAAACACCTGCTGCTATCTGTCATTTCACTCTATCCATGGGTGCATCCAAAGTATTTCATACAAATGACACAATGATGTTCACATCTTGCAATAGCACCCAATACCCATCCTCTGCTGCTGCGAGAACGTCGCGGCTTTGTTGCCTATCCATCACCTTCTCCGATGGCCCTTTGTTCATTGTCAACAAACGAACACGAGCCTCGAGAGAGCGCGTGGATTGGATTTCAATTATGTACGGCACAGTCATAGTAGGTCATGGCACAGTCACATGCTCACATTCCGGTCGGTTTGTCTCGTAAACTCTTCCTTTTGGGGAGTCGAGCGAGCTTTCCTGCAATCAGGCATTTGGACTCCCATCATTTTCGTTTCCCATTCCACATAATAATCTTTGCTTTTTTATCCTACTTTTACTGATACATTTATACTTGCTCGTTATAACCTTATTCTTGTCACTCTTTTCATCATGGCTGCCCTCGTTGCTTAAATGGAACACTCACAACCGCCTTGTAAACTCTCCCGTTGCTGCTTGTCGCAGTCGTCCTACTACGAGTCATTCACTCTTGCGCCCCTTACGCATCTCTTGTCGTGCTGGTGTGAGAGAGAACGGAAAAAAACGAGCTAGACAATAATGGCTCACCACTACTCGCGCAAAATGAACATTTACGCTACAGAATTTGTGCCGTCTTCTGGTTCTTCTTCTGCTTCTTCCGTAAAAGAACAACCCACGAGCAACTCGTCTCGTCGCTCTTCTTCAACGTCTGCTCCCAACATGTATAAGAATAATAACAATTCCTACGGTCCTCGCCCCGTTTCGTCGAGTCAGGCTCGCCCCCGCAAGCAGGAGCAGCGCAAAAAGGGAAAGAAGGAGGACGTTATGGTTCCTGCGTTCATCAATGACTATGAGGTAAGCTTGGGCGTTATTTTTCTAAAGTACAAATTTATAAAGTCTCTGTTGCAAAAGCCACAGACAGAAGTCTATGGATCGCCCAACAAACGCGGTCAAATCTCCCTCAATCACCTGCTGGGATTTCAACTCCCGCCCCGTCAACGCCCTGGTGTATCGAGGTCTGCAGTCCGTCGCAAGAGCAATGTCTATTATGAGCCTTACAACAAGGAGCGATTCGTCAATGCAAAGTGAGTATACGCTGGCAAAAGTAGAGCGTTGTCCCGCGACGGTGACGATGAAGTGAATTGATGGGGGGCAAACAGTGAAACAGCGAAAGTAGAGGAATAAGGGAAAAGAAAGTAACTCAATGGCCATCGCCTTGGGGCACATTTTGTGTGCTGCCATACACTGGGTGGGACCACGGCTCGTTGCGGCTGTCGCTGCGTCGCTTGTATCTACGGCATATTTCATGGGCTGTGTTTACGATCCATAACGGCACGTTTTATGACATTCTCTCATCCGTTTCTTTAGTTTCCGCTTCGTGATGGATGAAAAGGGCGACTATACTGTCAATATGATGGATCCCGATATTGTGGTCGATTGGAAAGACATTGTTCAGGCAGTACGTATGCTAATGTCGCCTCTGTCATCATAAAATCTATTAATGGGTGAAATATAAACACAGGTGGTGCCGATCCATAATAAGAAACCTCCGTCTTGCCCAATCTGCCTTTCCACTCCTATCGCACCCAAAGCGACAAAGTGTGGTCATGTCTACTGCTGGCCCTGTATTACTCACTACCTCCATCTCGGTGAAAAAAAGTGGCGCAAATGTCCTATTTGCTACGACGCCATCTACGCAAAGGATTTGAAGCCTGCAAAATTTGCTATCACTCAAGAGGTGGGCAAAGCTACACCTGGCAAACCTGCGCAGGTCAGCATGCTATTAATGAAACGTGCGGTGAACTCTACGATTGCCCTCCCGCGCCTTGCATACCACACTTGGTCTAATGCTGGCACGAATGCTCCGCCTTCCATTGCAAACGCCAATGCAGTTCCATTTGCAAAACTCTTGCTGTCTTCACCAGAATATCTTCAAATTGAGATTTTGGAACGCGAAAGGGATGAGCTAAAGGCCATGTTCGATGAGGCTTTAAATGAAGAAGCAGTGGTTAAGGCCGTAGGCGGAACAGGTGGCGGTGGGTTGGAAAGCGAAAAGCCGTTTATTGAAGTTGCCATGACAGAGGTCAAGGTGGGATCTTTGCACGTTGGTCTTTTGCTTCTAGTTCGCAGACTTATTCTCTGCTTAGGAAGCACTGAATGCTCTCCTGAAAAGCAACCGACTACTTGGCAACACGAAAGGCAAATCCGTGGTAGTCCCACCTGTCGCTAATCTGCTTGCATCCGACGAGCCGCCGCCACCAACCTGGACGGATGAGGTCCTGGATGTGCAGGCAAAGCAGTTTCAAGAAGAACAGGCTCGTCAAGGCGGGTATGAGCCTGCCTTTTCGGACGATGAGGAACATGACAACACGGGATCTAGTCCTACCAAGAGCCCGACCAAAATGCATGCCCAACCATCGGCATCCAAACAAAATGCACCGAAACATAAAAATGAACCGCCCCAAGACGGCATGTACTACTTTTACCAATCACTCGATGGCCAGCATTTATACCTCCACCCTCTGGACATCAAAATCCTCAAACACGAGTACGGCAGCTACGACCGATTCCCGGATCGGATTAACGTCAATGTAATTGCCGCGCAAGAGTCTACGATGAATGAGGTATGTCACTGCTGATTGTGTTCCTTTTCTTCATTTTCGCGTTATTTACCTATATTGCAGGACTTGAGGAAACGGTGCAAGTATCTTTCTCATGTACCCCTTTCGTGCGATGTCACGTTCTGTGAGGTCGATATGAAAGGGCTCGTTTCCAAGTCCACCAGCAAGGTTTTCGAGAGTAAGTAGTTGCCGTATACCCGTTTCATAAAACTATGTTAACAACAAGTGCTTCTCAGAGGAACTCAGCCAACGCCTTAAAAGATACAGAACCCTCGAACGCAAAGACCAACAAGACAAGGACCGCGACCGTAAACGCTCTTCTCCCCCTCTTCCCCTCTCCTCTTCGTGGGAATCACCTCCCTCCATCCCGCTAGACGTTCCCCACGCCGCGCTAGACGCAACTCCCTCCTCCCCTCCCCCTTCAAACCCAAACTCGTTTGCCCGCATCGCAGCTCACACGACATCCACACCTACACCCTGGACCCGCGTCCCAAAACCTCAGCCTACAGCTGAAGAAGACGATGAGTATACAGTGGATGAATACCAAGGGTGGACGTTGGATTTTGAGGAAGCGGTTTTTGGCGAGGGAAGCAAAAAGAGAGGTAAAGTGGTTTTGGTTACGAATGGGGGACGGAGGGGACGAGGTTAAGTAGGAGAACTACAAAACACATTTTTGGAAGGTGCTCTTTGGGTAGGGTGTTTGTATTGGGATTGGGATGCCTTTTTTTTTCTTTTTTTTATGGTGGTGAATGGATACAGAGTTTTTGACTTTGGTTGTTTTTTGAATTTGGGTGTTTTTGACATGCGAGATCTTGGAATGCCATCGACATTTCCTCGTGACCAAGAGGGGGAAGCATCATTATCAAGTGGCTACCTATGCTTAAACTCGGTCTGACGACCCGCAACATGTGAATATGTGTTGATGGATTTTTGCTGGGGGAACCGGATGGAAGGTACCCATGTTCGTCTATGCACTGTTGATTTTACATTACGTCTTGCCACTCTGTCTGACTCTGGCAAACACACCTCCATTGACGAATACCATAGTACATGCTGCAAGCATCTTTGCATTACCGGGCTGACACTCACTCTGACCATAGAATGTGATTCGAGAATATATTATTTGTATGAAAATGAAGAATCTTTGCACCACCTGCAATACAGTTTCATGATGCTTACTGCGAGATTCCCCCAAAATCTCAATGATAATCCTAATTTTGACAATTCATATAATTATTTTGATTGACAGGTTGAAGCAAAAGAACGTAACCCGCGGGTCCATCAAATGATGGAAGCTTTGGGCCGTTCTGACGCATATCATGCGGCTTGGAAAGTGGGTCTTGTCATGTATGATTCAACAAATAAAAGCTAATTTAATTGGCGAGTGGATTGTCATCTCAAAGAAAGTGCGCCTCTCACACCGCTCTCGACTGAACTCTAGCCTAAATCAAACAGCGTACGCAGTTGGAATAGCAATCCCAATACGACTGGTGACGGTTGGGAAGTCCCCGATGCCTACGGATGGGGTGTCGCTGAAACGAAAGATAATATCCCTGCAGCGCAGATTGCTGAACAAAAACCATCTGGTTCCGAGAGTCAATACAGGATTACCACGGACGGCCTTCTCAGCGATTGTCTGCGCGGTCAAGCGGTGTTTTACAGGGACGAGAAAACCAACAAAGCTATCTGTGTAATCAACGATATTTATATCCACATCACAGAACGCTGGAGAAGTATCACTGTCAGTCGAGAAAATGGCTTCACAACGTTTTCTGGCGGTGTTGGAGCATATTCTCTAGCTCAGGATGCCGAATTGCTTCGCCGCGCTACTGAGCTTTGCAAGAATGAAGGTGTGGAGCTCATTCTCTCTGAAGATCAAGATGTCTGGAAACGCAAGTGGAGCATGAAGTTTAAGAGCTAGTTGATTGAAGAATGTCAATCTTGTTAAACGTGCATTTCTGTGTGTTCCTTGTATTTGCAAATACATCTCATTGCTCATTTCATCAGTGCAATAGTCGACTTTTTGATTGACAGGTTGAAATCAAAGAACGCAACCCCGGCCTTTCAATCAAATGATGCAACTGGAAGCTTTGGGCAGTTTTGACGCATTTTCATGCGGCTTGGAAAATGGGTCTTGTCGTGAATGATTCAGTAACCAATTTGGTTGGCGAGTGGAAAGCCTTCTCAAAAAGAGTGTCCTCTCACACCGCTGTCGACTGAACTCTAGCCTAAATCAATATGACACGCAAATCAAACAGCGTACGCAGTCGGAATAGTAATCCCATTACGACTGTTGGCGATTGGGTAGGCCCCCAACATACATATTTTGAATCGAAAGATAATATCCCTGCAGCGCAGATCGCTGAACAAGAACCATCTGCTTCCAAGAGTCAATACAGTATTACCGCGGACGGCCTTCTTGGTGACTGTCTGCACGCAGAAGCAGAAATTTACAGGGACAAGAAAACCAAGGAAGCCATCGCTGTAATCAACAACCTGTGGAATCTCATCAAAAACCGCTCGCAAGATGTCACTGTCACTGAAAAGAATGGCTTCACAATCTTTTCTGGGACCGACGGTGTGGACGGTTTTCCAGCAGGTCCCTTACTTGGGGATACCGAACTGCTCCGTGTGGCTACTGAACTTTGCAAGAATGAAGGTGTGGAGCTCACTGTCTCCTTTACTAAACGGAAGTGGAGCATGAAGATTAAGATTTAGTTTATTGGAAATTGTCCAACGTTCATTGCTGTGTTCCTTGTATTTGCAAATACATCTCGTTGCTCATTTCGTAGTGCAATAGTCGACTTTTTCCATATTCTTTGGCTTTAGGGTGGCAAGGGTCTCAAACATGTGGTATGCCCATAAATGTTGAAATGTTCAACTTTTTTAAGCTTCCATGGTGCAAATGGGGGCCTCAACATCCCGCGACTGGAAAAAGCTTCTTAAAAGTTGCTCTCCCTCAGTTTTTTCATCCTCGTCCTGAACGAATCCAACCGCACACACACAATTCACCTGCAAAACATACCATGCCCGCTAGCCACACCTCAAAAACTTCCTTCGTCCTTGCTGAATCAGGCAGCAATGCCTCCCAAAACCAAACAGTGACCCAGCAGCCTTCCAAACCTGTACGCAGCATTACCGAGGAGGGAACTTTAAGTGACTGTCTGCGTGCTCGAGTGTCCAGGTACATTGACGAGAAGACTGATGAAGCTATAGCTGCAATCAATTCGATATATTCAGAGATCAAGAGCAATTATCCAAATGGCTTCAGTGCTTTTGAAAAGGACGGCATCATGACGATTTCTGGAGTAGGACGCTTGAACCCTGAGGATGTTGATCATGACCCTCCGAAAGGATTTGAGAACCCCGATGTAGTTAGAATTGCCATTGAGCTGTGCCAAAATGAAGGAGTGGAACTGTCTGTTGAGCAGCATTGGGGTGGTTGGAATTGGTCGATGACGTTTAAGACCGGCACCGGCTACCGGATGGCACCATCTTCGCCGCCTCCTTGCGATTGGTCTCGGTAGTCGATTGGCAAAAGCTCTTGTTGGACACCCCAAAATGTGTATTAATTGTTGCAAAATGCGTCTGCTTTTTACCAGTGTATCATCTATTGGAAATACATCATTGCTTGAATGTATCATTTATTTCAATATTTTCAAGTATTACAGCCAAATGTTACGATTTACTGCCTGTGCAGGACTGTTGAGAGCCCGATTGCATCCTACCAGTTCACCTTATGGACAAGCTATGACGGAACTGAACGACCTGCAAGACTTATTCAACGGATAGTTGGAACTGTCGAAGGCATCATTGAAGTGCATCATGCTCAGGATGCGACGAGACTGAAATTTGATGACAGTCTAGAGGAACCCACAAAATAACCAGAGCTTGAATCAACCGTTATTTATATCAAAATCCATTTTGAAACATAGTATTATCTACCTTCCCATACTGCTTCCAAGCGAGTGCAAGACCATACCCTGGGCGGTGCTAGTCTTTTGAACTTGGCTGCCATTTGATGGCGAGTATTCAACACTGCGTAAAAGATACAGTATCTTGTTCTTCAGCAGGCAGGATGAGCGAGCATGGCGTTCAGAGTGTAGTCGACCATAAGCCAGAGCATCAATGATGGTAAAAGTTTCATTTGAGAGACGTCCTTCTCGGTGCTTTTCTTCCTTTATTTTTAAAGTATTTTTTTGATTCCATTTTGTGGCGACAGCCATTGGAATAAACAAACATGTTTTTGTTCACCCACCGGGCCCTCCCTCCGGTGACCATCATTGAGCAAAGGTGCCCTCCGGCCCCATCATTGGGCTCCACCTAAGGATGGAGGCAGTCGCTCCGGCCACGCAGACTACAGTCCCATGCAACACAAAATAGCAAAAAAGGCAAGAACATCTAACACACTAAAAAGCAATAGCGAAAGGTGGGGAACAAAGAAGAACGGGGGGAGTGGAAAGGTCGCCTTTTTATAAACCTGGAGGACTGCGCTTTTTTTTTTGCAATTTCGGAATTCGTCGGCGGAAGATTTCCGTATCCTGCGTACGTCACCTCATTGATGCCCAATCATCGTCGTCGTTTTCACCTCCTGGGTTCCCCTTGCCCAACGGTGCGCGAGTCAAGATTATGTAAACGCGTGAAGCGAGTCATTTGTTTATCTTGATTTTCCCACGTTCTCGGACAAGCGAGATCGGACATCATCAGACAGCCTTTCGGACTGGACATTGTTGGAAAAGAAGACGGATTGGTTTGTATTTTGCATCAGCAGAAGAAACAACAGATCGCTATGCCGGTTCCCAAGAAGGTGTCTTGAGGATCAATAGCGAGTAACAGTGGCTTTCAAGTGCAATCAACCAGCTGTCTTCGTTCATTGAAAGAAGGGTTGAGCACATTATCTTTTTCTCAGGACGAGCACTGCCCGCTGCTTCACTGATACGCCGCCAGCTCTTGCCCTTGTCTCAAAACCTTGTGGGGTCGTGTTGGCCGTATCGCGATGGGCCGTTGCAAACTGGACAGGGTGGAACTCATTGTCGACCAACGTTTTGTGAAATTGAGAACCATGTATTTGAACGAATAGCTTTTGTCGTTGGTGCTATTAGTGGTAGACGGTTCCATCAAAAGTGGCGGGTAGCGTAGATAGTAAGCACAGTTATGATGGATAGGGTTGGGTGACAGGTGAGAGAAATACGTCCCAGTTCTCAATGATCCTGGTTTATGATAGAAGTTGCTGTGTTGACAGGTGTAGTCAAGGGCATCCGCTATAGTCCATCTTACCAATTCCTGATAGACTCTACAACAATGATTAAAGTAAACATTAAGTCACTGGTAGGAAGGTGAACGCTGTAAGGTCTACCCTTTCTAGGAATTGAACTGCGTTGTGGGTACCGCTGGGAAGAATGGGGGTGAGTTGTTTTTGATCTATTGCAAGTAATTCCTAATATCGAGCGCTTTTCCTTTATCGAGGTAACATTTAGGCAAATCAACAAATGTGTTGCAAATGCTTCTATCTCAAGTTTATCCAATATGAAGCATACTGTGTGCCCTAGTAACGGTTGCACCGCCACTGCCCAATTTTAATTAAGAGCTACATGCATGAACCTTCAGCTTGCATCATCATGATACGGTGCGCTTTACTGCACAGCATCCGGTCCATTTCTGGACTAAAAGTCTTTTTTAGAAGAGTGTTTTTTGATGGCATGGTCAAAGAATGTAACATGCATATCATGCGTCCTGCAGCTTCTGCTCATAGGTAGCAAGGCGCAGGACGATAGAGCAGGATGTCATCTGCTTATCGGAAAAAAAGCGCCAGTGCTTGGAATTCCCAACTCTGACAGCTATCCCCACCGTCAAAACAAACGTATTGCTTGGATTTTTTCAAAACAAAAAGCTCGCGGCATTTACTATTTGTGGACTTTGCAACTAATTGTATTGGTGTAGGCTCCGTACTGCGAATGTGGATCAAGAACAACTTGATTATGTGTGCCCTTCACACCATTCATTGCAGGTTACCCAATTGCTAGGCCGCCTCTTATCAGTGTACCATTTCTCTGCAATGGCAGTGCATTTGAATCGCTCTTAGCACTAAGGTTATTTTGACTGGACAGATTCATCAACCGGTTGTGTAGGATACTAGCGACAGTATAACAAATACAAAATTGTGGAGATGCAGCAGCGACAATGTTTTTTGTCCTGGTTCTCGGGCAAGTGAAATAACAATCATGGTTAATTACGTATTAACAGCCGAATGGAGCGACAGCGAATAAAAGACGTTTGGGAACACGCCGCTCCAGACGAGGTAAACCTTCCAATTCTTGCTTTTCATATTCTTTCAATGAACTTTTTCTTTCCGAGCGCCCCATAGAGACCTAATGGAACAAAAGCAATTGTGTGGAATTTTCGTTTCGCTCCCGTCCTTCCTCATAAATAATCTAGTCAAATTGCCACCGGACCTCAGCAAAAAAGAAATACAGATGAAGCGCCCCCGGAGCTTTGCTTTTGTGCGGCGCTCAGCCGACTACACTACAATTCTTTGTTTATTACATTGGTCAAAATATCGGACCTGCTGCTTGCAATAAAATTCCATGTGTGTGTGTGTGTGTGTGCAGAATGTGTTCGAGACCTATACCGGAGCTCCTTCATTCACAAACAAGGACGTGAAAACGTTGAAAGGATTGAACCCCATTCGTACATTCCTGCAACTCCCATTGTGTCAGCCTATGGAATAGAAGGACCTCATGGAATGAACCAACTAGCAGCAAAATAACCCAAAAACACTCATCAAACAGTTCCAAACGGCCAATTTACCAAAAGCCAACTTTAAAAGCTAAGCCTCCTCTTATAAATCTGAAACGCGGCCAATTAAGCAAAGTTACACAAGCCGTTGGGGATGTTTCAAATTTAAATAATGATACACAGGAGAAGCTTTTTGACTTTCAAGCGAGGAGGGGTCTTTAGAATTTCTTCCCTTGTTGCCTTGTTTGCTTGCTTTCAGCTTTCTTTGATTCATCGGTTTTTTGTTGAGCGAACGTTTTTGCCAAGAACGATAACCACTCGAGCATTTGAACACCCCTCGTCCTAAAGGACAGATTGAACGGCTACTCGCCGCAGATTCCCTTCCGTAAAATGCGGATATTCCACCTGTTTCCCCTGCTTTTACTTGTGGAATGGACGAAAGCTACGCGGATTTCACGGGACTTGATTGATAACGGCGACGACAACAATCTTGGGATATTGAATCGAGTTCGCATTCTTTTAGGCGATGATGACAAACATGATGACGATGATGATGACAAAACGTAGGTTACTTTTGGTGTGGTGTGATGCAAGTGACTGGAAGCTAATTTGTGTGTGATAGGTCGTCGTCGTCGGCGCTTCCCACTGTAGGACCCACAAATACGCCGGTGACGTTTACGACTAAACAACGGCAGGCGATTACGTTGGATGAGAATGTCTCTCCTGTAGTTACTGTCTCGTCAACCAGTACTGGGACGACCCCGCTCAAGACGACACCAACGCCAACATCCGTCAAGACTGACAAGGCCGGTCGCCCATCCCCAACTCCATCCCCTCCAACTTCGTCTCGCATCGTTCCTGCGGGAAAACCCGCCATCAACCTCCAGCTGCCAGTCGGTTCACTCGAATTCGCCTATGGAATCGATGACTTTGAACCCACCAATTCTTTTCACTTTTACTGGACGGTGGAAACCGATAGTATACATGGTGCCCTTACTTTCAATGCCACCAAGTACTGGATGGCATCTAAAAAGGGCGAAAAAGGCAAAAGCATTTGGAACGCTTGGATAGGATTCGGGTTCGGGCCCTCCATGTTGACATCTGACATGTTGATCCTGTACGCCAACCCGAATACCAAGCGGATCCTATTCACAGAGTCGGATCCGTCCAAAAAGTATTCCCCGCCTGTTCCCTCCGCTCACAAAATCTTGGTGACAGACGGGTTACTCCAGACGGTTGTCGACAATACAATTGTTTTTGAATTTCGCCGCCCAATACGTCCCTCTGACAACAACCACTGGAACATTGACATTGATGAGGAGTTTAGTGTTATCTGGGCATTCAATGCGGACCCAGATGAGCGGGGCAAAGATGGATACCTCTTTTATCACGGCGAACGGAATAGAGGGAGACACCTGATCAACTTTTTGAACGGAGCAAACAGGATCGTGAATGATGGCATGCGCTCCAAAGAAGCGCACGGAATTGGCATGTTCGTTTCTTGGTGTATTTTGATGCCGTTTGGACTCTTTTGGTCACGGTATATGAAATCCCGCCCCGGATGGATGAGAATCCACATTGCGACCCAAACCCTCGCGACGCTCCTCACCATCATTTTTTGCTCCATCATCATCGCCGCCCTCCGTCCCGAAGACCCGCGCAACACACCGCGAAGCGAGAACCACGATCTCAGGTCGCATCCTCTACTCGGCTTGATCCTTTTCCCTCTTATCATGACCCAAGCTTTCCTCGGAACCTACAATCGTCTCGGCTTGAGCGTGGAATGGATCAAACGGCATAAATGGTTCCGCATCCTGCATTCGTGGATTGGAAAGGCCCTAGTCTTTACTGGGTTTGTGCAGAGTGGCTTGGGCATCGATATCATGTATCCGTTGGAGGAAACGTACTTTAGGGGAAAGGGACAGTGGATTTTCTTTGCGATAGTGTGTGTCTTTTGGATGGGGCTGTTTGTCGGTAGTGAGGCAGTTGGGTGGTGGAACAGGAGACGGACGCTGCAAGTTTCGGGAAAAAAGGTTAATGCCTGGTACACACCCGGTAAACAAACGACTCCACCAGCCGTTAAGGAAGAGCTCTCAAAGACCTCCCAAGATCTAGCACTCAATCACAGCACGCCTTCTAAGCCCCTCCAAAAATACACCTGGGGAGATATTGACAGCGCTATCCTCGCCGGAGAACTTCTTGTCGTCGCCAACGGTCAATACGTTTACGATATCTCCCGATGGGTGTCCTCTCACCCCGGTGGGCAACTGATTATGTACACGGTGGCAGGAACGGACATTACCAACGATTACTTTGGGGAAGCGGGTGTAGATCCCGACGAGTTTTTGCGGCGAGAAAATGTGAGCGACGGTATCGACCGTGCGTCTGTTCTTCCAGAAATAAACGGCAAGAGCAACTTGAACAATAGCTTGCCCCGCGTCAGGACCTTGCCTCGTCGCAAAACGCTCATGGAGGCTAGCTCGCCGAGGTCGAGCTCAGCCGCCCCACCAACGTACGGCTCAACAAGCTTTACCGAACAGGAATGGCGGCTGATTCAAAAGTCACGGAGAACCCATTCCCACACTAACGCAGCCCTCGCAAGACTCTCCACCTTACTGGTGGGCGAAATCACAGGTTCATCCGCAACCTGGATTCCAGCCCAATACCATCGATACGCCCTCGTATCGTCGACTCTCCTCACTCCACCCTCGCACTCATCCCCCATCTACAAGCTCAAATTCACGATCCTCTACCCACACACTGCAACCAACCCACCCCACTTTGTTCCAGGACAGGCCATCCAGCTCTCAACGCGCATCAACAACACCATCCACACGAGATTCTACACTCCCATAAATGGATCTATGGGGTCCTTTGAAATCATTGTCAAACACACTGGAGGGCCCGTATCCTCCTTTTTGACTCGATCTAAAGAAGGGGAACGACAATGGAAGTTCCGAGGACCGTGCGGTGTGGGCACGTTCTCAACACACCCATCTCGTCCCCTCTCATCCACACAAAGCATTCCTGAAAAAATTCTTTACATCTCGGCGGGTTCGGCACTCGTTCAAGCCCTTCAATTCCTTTCAACCCTCTTTTTACCCGCCCAAGTTCCCCTCCAAGTCTTCCAATCCTACTCACCACAAAACCCCGACGAACTCGCCCTGTCTCCCTCCGATCAAGTTCTCGTCCACTCACACTCTTATGATGGATGGGCAGAAGGGCGCAACATAACCACCAACGAGTCTGGTGTCTTCCCCTTGGGCGTCACGTATCCCCCATGTGGGGCCCTCCCCGTCGTGACGCTCTTATCGTGTGTACATTCTGTTGATGACTGTATTGGCCGGGAACTTATTGAGGGAGCTTGCTTGGCCTATCCAGGCCAGCTTCGTGTCATGTGGGTTCTTTCCACACCAGCGCCAAAAGCTTCGTTTTCGGACTCGTGCATCGTGCACGAGGGAAGGCTGGATCAAGCCGTCTTGGACCAGGCATTGAATGTTGCGGGGTGGAATAGGACAATGTCGGATGCATCGCAAAAGATTTTGGTGTGTGGTCCAAAGCCGTTTGAAGGGTTCGTGTATGAGAGTTTGGTGGATGGTTTGGGCGTCTCGCATGCGGAAGTATGTGTGCTACCAGATGAGCCAAAGGTTGCAGAGTCGTCATAGGCATTGTTAGTGTAGCGTTTGAATAGTTTAAGAGGCGAAGTTTGGATAGACTCGTCTCCCACATGTACCATATAGTCTGTAGGATCAGTTTGCAAAAGCTTGTATAGGAAGTAGGCTGCAACATGAAAAGATTAAAGAATACTGACTCCAGCCAAAGATCTCCATTTCCTCAACGCCTTGTACCAGTCTGCAATCCCTTACTCTGGGACTTCTTTTTACCAACAATGCATTACAATCTTGTACACCCTTATCCAGCTGAGCCCTTCATTCTTTTCATTTCCGCTCATTACCACCAGACCACGCAAAGGATAAATAAACCCACCAAATTATGATACAAAACCACCACAACACAACAATTACAGTCAAGACTTTCAACATCATCTAACTATACAAAAGACAGGAATAAAAAACCCCCCGGATAAAAAAAAGATTGGCAAATCCCAATTGTGTGCTAAATCACACGGGGCGGCTGTACATTCCCAACTTCGTTCAATTTCCTTTTTTCACACGGCCAGCACCATATTCCGTCACACTACTTTTTCTTCAAATACCGTAGATTGCCTTTACAGCACTGCTTGATAATCGGAAACAATTTTCCAGGCAATCCCATCGACTCGGCAATCTTTGGAGTAAGGCTCATCTTTACCAACAAGGACAAAAAGTTTTCCTTGTTCCAGTCATCTCGTAGGCGTTGGTAAAGAAGGTTGTTCATTTCGCTTAATTGAGTAAAATCATTATCGGGAGTGGCTTCCCACGGGCAGAGGACCCCAGTCGTGACATTGTAGAGGAGCGGGAAGAGGACATTCTCATTTGTTTGAGTGTCTGTAAACCGGTACTGTAGCAAAGAGGATGCTGAGGATGAGCACAAGTACGTGGCAAACAGTTGAAATGGTCGGGGTTTCCACATACCAGAACGCTCATCCTATGCATATCCAATTGAACATGAAACGCCGGAGTCCCAACCTTTCCTAGATACTCTGGCGCATCCGGTGGAATCGCGAGGCACCACTCTACCGTCAACCGCAAGTTCTCATCCGCTTGTTTCTTCTCAAACTCGATCAGTTTGAGAAGATCAGCCATAGGATCCCGCCACATCAAGAGCATATCCACAAACGTCATCAAGAACGGACGCATATTGGTCCCGGGTGGCAAAGCATTCAGCTGGAAAGTGCCGGAATTGAGCCCGGTTGACAGTTGAAGCGCTGGAACATGACAATATCTCCATTCTCTTACCTTTGCCGATATAGAATCCGACATCATTCTCCACAGATCATTACGTATATTTTCTCCGCTGACTTCGCCACCAGCTATGCAGAAAAACACTCGAGGTCAGCACATGGCAAAATGACAGATGCAACAAAGTACCACACTTAATACGCACGCATACCGAGGGTCGCCACCTTCCATTTACTGGCGGCGTTTACCGAAATATAGAATGCCCTAGCCTCCGTCCGAATAATCACTGACGACTCGGTCTCCGTTTTAATGTCAAATTTGACATCAGTTGCCTGGGGGCACCAATATTAGCCGAAGAACAAGATCAACGAGATTACGATGTTGCGTACACATACCGGTAGCCGCTTTTGCGCCTCACTATTAAACCACATTAAACTAGTAATATTGGTCAAATGCGAATCGACTTTAGTAACAGCAAGCTCCAGCATCGGCCCATCAAAGAACACGCCATAGGGTACGGCTAACGCGCGGGTTCCAGCCGGCACGGATGCATCATAGACCGAATTGGCCAACACCGTGGTCAGCCCAGCCCCAGCATAGAACTGGGGGATCTCGGAATAAACCTGCATGGCGTCTTTGCTTTTGGGTGACGATCGAGCGCTGTCGTAAACAGCAAACGTGCCTGACCGGTGGAGTACAAAGTCGACACTATAGATTTCCGCATATACCAGCTGCACTCGACTCAATGAGTGAACCGTAAGTTTCACGAGAGGCTTGCCGCTCTCCAGTGCATACGCATCAACATTCCGTTTCTGCTCCACTTGCCACACTAATCGAAGTAATGGCGCCATATGCCAGAGCATCTTTAAACAAGAACGTATTCAGAGATCAATTGCTTCTTGTTCGTCTATTGACAACGAAACTCACCAAAAGCGACTGTGCCAGGTCCCTTCCGGTATTCAAGTGCTCCTCAAAAAAGTCTTTGATTCTTTCATACATCTCCAGCGGTATTCCTTTGGTACCTGTTGCGTTTATGCTCTTCTGCTGTATGAACGCAGTGCGAAAGGTACCATCTTTCGCCACGATGGACCCGTCCGGCAGCTTTTCTTCCCCTCCATCCTCCCACCACAGCTTGATTTGAACGTCTTCTCCGAACGTCAAACTGAGGGTTACCAGGTCAAACCGCTCAAACTGCACTCCAATCTTCTCGAGCCTTTTCTTATTTCGGACAGCTACAAAAGCAGATGTCAGAACTTCACCCCCATGCACCATTCAAGGAATCATACTACATATACGTACTTTGTTGTGCAAGCCGCGTCATCATAACGATTGATCGCATACGAGCCAATAACAGGGCAACACAGTCCTCAATTTCATCGACATCCACAAACCGGAAAGTAATTGCGTGTGATTGAGGTTCGAACGTAAAATCCTCTAACAAAGGGAATGAGCATTGCTTTCATTACAAAAGCCACCAAAAGACGGGGACAGACCTGACGCTGGCTTTTCAATGGGCGGAACTCCCAGTTGCATTTTAATAACACAAACGCTCAAAACGTGGGCGCTTTTTACCGTGGTTGGAGTTCCAAAAGGGATCTTTGCACTCGGCACTTTTGTAACTCCAGATGTCGCGCCTCTGACAACATTACTCTCGATACTAATGTACAACTCTCCAAACGGTAAAATCGCGCTCCTCCAACCAGCATCCTCTTCTGCAAAATAATCGACTGGAATACAGATTCGCATTCCTCGTCCGGCAATGCGCGTCTCCGGTATTTCAAGTTCCTCTGGGGTGACCCTTGGCAAGGAAGAGCCGAGAATGTATTCATATGGCACCTGGCGCATGTGCAGTTCTGTCGTGACTCTAGTAAAGCCATACTGCAATCTACCAAAATAAAAGAGAGATTTTTTTAGGCAAGCTTATTCTCGCGGTACGAGAGCGAACACATTCATCACATACCTGCAAATTGTTTCCACTTTGGCCAGTGTTTCGTAATCAAGATGGTCCCAACTGTGCAACATTTCGTCAAGTGACTCCAGTTCAGCGGAGCTAGAACCGTCCTCGGCCGCTTGTCCTTTGACAGGAATGGAGCTTTCCATTGACTTTATTTTCTTCCGAGGAAAAGATCCCTCTCCATCATCAGCGTTCACAATCATCTGGGATGGCTTTGTCCCTTGATATCCCGAAAACTCTCTTCCAAACACATCGTCCACTGACAAAGGAGTGATAAATTCTATTTCTCTCAGCATCTCCTTTTTCACGCGGCCAAATCGTTTCACTCGTCGTCTCTCGTATCTACCGCCACACCAGATTAGAATAAAGGCCACAGGCGAACATTTGGTGAGGTTTTATCTTACTTTGTCATCATAAACCATACTCTAAAGATTGCATCATCCTCTTTGACGCCCAAATTCAATCGTGCTTTTGCCTCACTTCCGGCAGGTCGATCACCGTACGTAGTCAGCCACTGTTTCAACGGGGCTACAGCTACGACTATCCAACCCTCGCTGAAGGCAGGTAGGCGAAGGTAAATTCGATGAAGAGGCAACAATTTTGCAATCTTTGAGTCCTCTGAAATACATTAATGCCCTGATTAGCGACACCATCATTAAGAAATTGGAAACCAAAAACGGACCTTCTGACTTGAGCGGAGTGTTCCGAAAAGCCCGCAGTCCCAGTCGCCGTGCCCAAGCCTCAATGTCATCAATGTAAGACTGAAAACATGGTAGAGTTAGTTAGTGAGCAGGTCTCCTAATACCGCTGGCACTTCCTTACCGAATAACGCATGTACATCAAAATGTCTAATGTTTCTTCTATATGATCGTTAAGCCTTTGTTCGATGCCCATCAGCTTGATGTCCCCAGTCGTTTGTCCGCGTTTACCATCCATCAACACCATGATCCTTCCTGTACGGATATCCACGACGATTTTGAGTGTGCGCTGAGGTCGATATGTTACTTCAAGCTCAGGTTGAATGCATTCGTGTGCCGTCCCAGTAGGAAACCACTCTTTGAGCTCCAGATCCTGCTCTTGGAACAACATTCGACCGTCCTGTGCTCCACTGGTCCTCTCCGGTTCGTGACCCATTTCCAATTCACGTTTTCGCTTATTCACTGCTGCTTCCACGCCTTCCGCATCTTGTTTTCCCTTCTTCATGGTACGCGACGCTTCCACATCATCCGCGTCACGCTTCCGCTTGTATACAGACGAAGCACTACCCGTGGATCGGCCGGGGGATAGAGGCAAGGAGTCGCCAGGAATGGAACTCAAATCGCTGGATGCAGCATTGTCCCCCTCGGCAAGCGGTGGCGTTATAAACCCGATCTCTGCCAATCCAGAGTTGATGGGTAGTCCAAGAGCGATATTTCGCATTCGGCGAAGCGTGAAGCGGCATTGGAGCTCTGCGATATTATTAAGCAGTCGTTCAAGATCCAAATTTGATGGATCCTGCATCGAGTGTAGTGTCGTGTTACTCCTAGAGAAATCATTCAAAATTGTCTTAACGCCTTATCTTACCAAAGTCAAAGGTATTTTTTGTTCGGTTTGAGGATTTACAAGTTCGAGCTTCTGCACATTTCCCTTCAAGTCAGGTATTACGCTATAACATCGTATGTCAAAATACCGTCGCGGTCGGCTCTTGTCCCCAAAAACCGTCGCGCTAACGAGATCGGTGTTGACATGCTTCCAAAACTTGCGTTTCCGTTTTCGGACCCACGTCTCGAACATTGGGTCTTTCAATGGCTCCTCCACCTTGATACCCATCTCCAAAACGTTGTAGCGATGTGGCACCTCTGAAAAGGGGAAAGTTAAGTATCTCTCATGACTAGGATACTACAGCTGCGACATACTGAATCCGGCAGGCACCGTTTTTGGATCCGGTCCAGGAATTTCATGATCCCAGAAATGTATGCGCAACATTTCCTTATCTTGCTGGTATTCTATTTTCAAAGCGCCCTGCCACCGCTCTCTTGAGAGGAAGATGGCCTATTTCAACACAATAAGTAGCTATCCGACAGGTAAAGCGTTCTATCCAACCGACCTGCATATACAGCATCTGTAATTGTAGCCGCAGTGTGAGTTTCTGCAGGAAGTCGTGTAAGTGGAGGATTGCATATGGGTTGTGCGGCTTAGGTGCAGATGAGTGCGCAGGGTGTACAGATGTTGCCTCTGCAGGTTGAGCACTGGAAGTTGTCGTCGGGATGGGCGTGGTCGAGGTGATGGGAGCAGTCGTGGTACCCCGTGTCTTGGTGTCCTCTCCGGCTTCTGAAGTCGAAGGAGCTGTCGCTGGCAGTTGGCCTTTATCCTTCTTCATGGTCCGTACTTTCATTGTCGCTGTCGATTTCCCTTTCTCCTTGGACTCACGTGGTCCGTTACCCTTTCCCTTCACATCAACGGTGTCCTTTGCCATAGTAACCTTCGCTTTATCTTTAGATTTCTCCTTCTTTCCTCTGTCTTTAGAGTTTGATGATGATGATGCAGGGATAGTGGGCTTCTGAGCGGCGACAGACGATGCTGAGGTTGATGTTGGTTTTCGCGCGGTATTCCGAGTAACAGTTGGAAGTTTGGATGCTGATATTGACGTTGGCTTTGGCTGCTCCACAACTCCTGACAATGGTGGTTTTGCTTTGCGCTTCTGCACTTGCTCAATCAAGACCTGTGCACTATTCAAGATATACTGCATTTGATGATCCATGAATCCAGGACAAACTCCTACAACTGGCCGTAATAAGAAAACAATGCATCGTGCACAATCTACCCATGCCGACTGTCCTACCTCCATACGAGTCAGCAGATTTGACATGCGTCTCCAATTGCACAATCCGCCACGGAAGACTGAAATCTTTACCGACAAGAGTGAGGGAAACTTTGAATAAGTTGACATTGAATGTAACGCAGCCCTTTTCTACATAGGACCATCATGTGTTAGAACACAAAATGCCAAGGCAACACGTACTCCAATGAAACAATACCGATAACTAAATTTTTCCGCATGGAATCTGGTATTATCTCCAACTCCAGTCGCCTTTTGATCAGCTCGTCTAGCGTCACCAACGTTTCTCGAGTTTGAACTTTCGTCAACGGTTTTCGCGGAAGCACACCCTGGAACACAAGTACATTTCAAGCTTCTTAACGATAACGTTGCCAATCGATGATCTCCCTACCCTCAGAACTTTGGGTAAGCGCTGATAGCGCCCTGTGCCAAGCACGTCAATCGCTGTAGGAACGTCAGGGACGGGCGTTCTGGACCAAAAAAAGCAACATTGGTTGGAAATTCGACAATCATTTAACGCCTACAAAAACTCACTCGGCCATCCGCTTAAATTTATCAACCATAAAGTACAATCCATCGGCTGTTCTTCGATAGGCATCATTCTGCTCATCAATAAAACGATGAAGATTCTGAATGGAGTACATGATTCACATATAAGTAAATGCGGCGCAGGGAATTGAATGGATCTCCTAGCGTACCATCATTTTTTGCCAATCCTTGTGCTGTCTACCCCATTTTGTCAACACGAGCAATTTTTGAAACTCCTTGCGCTGTGACAAGGCATAATCAAGCAGCTGTCGTTTTCGTTCCATTTCGGGAGCGTTGGGAAGACTGCATTGTTGTGAACATATAAAGGAATAAGTTATCAAAGTTGGTATCAATTCCACTCCTCTTCACGGCCAGGTGAGAGATCTCCGCCAGCTGCATTGTCTTAGATCCTCACATAACCCAATGCATTACGCCGTGCTCGTGTAGAAAATCGGTGGCACCATTTAACTCGTCAACTCACCTTCGAGTTAGCTCTTGCAGCTTCGCGTAACCAGATTGGATCATTCTCCCCGCCAATTCTTTAATGGAGACAGCATTCATCCAGAGAGGCGGAAGTTCTGGAGGTGCTTCACTTGTAGTTGCTGCTGCTGCTGCAGGCAGAGTTGTGGGTATATTGCTCCGTGCCGGCGAAGGGATAGAAGCTCGTGGATCTGTTGAAATGCTGGCCGCCATCGACGTGACCCGATCCACGGCCGGACCTGGTTCATGATCCGACATTATGCTCGGGTAAAGGTGTGGTAGAGGTTGCTGATGCTTCGACCCAAGTCCCGCGGACGGAAATGGGCGGAGAAGGGATTGGGTCATCTTTTGAGGGTCTGCAGCCCTCAACGTGCCTACAGCAGAACTACTGCCGATTACGTTGCTCTGCTTGACGTGGGGCATACTGTGGTTCAAATGGGCTAATCATTAGGTCACGTGAGAAATCGGAGTTGATTCTCAAAGCAACCAGCGAGCAACCAACGCTTTTTGCGATGCAGGACTTGCAGCAGATGCGCTTTGCTTCAGAGCACACTTGTAATGGCTTATTCTCATTGCTTTTCATGTTTTTTTTCTTCCTTTATTTTTAAAGTATTTTTTTGATTCCATTTTGTGGCGACAGCCATTGGAATAAACAAAGATGTTTTTGTTCACCCACCGGGCCCTCCCTCCGGTGACCATCATTGAGCAAAGGTGCCCTCCGGCCCCATCATTGGGCTCCACCTAAGGATGGAGGCAGTCGCTCCGGCCACGCAGACTACAGTCCCATGCAACACAAAATAGCAAAAAAGGCAAGAACATCTAACACACTAAAAAGCAATAGCGAAAGGTGGGGAACAAAGAAGAACGGGGGGGAGTGGAAAGGTCGCCTTTTTATAACCCTGGAGGACTGCGCTTTTTTTTGCAATTTCGGAATTCGTCGGCGGAAGTTTCCGGATTTCACATGGTGTGTTGCGTAAGTCATCCCGTCGTCGACTTCCACGATGGCACGTTGTTGAAGCGTCCAATAAAACTTGTTGCTTCCAACCTCCTTTTACCTCCTGGCCCTTCTCCTGCGTGGAACGCGAACGCGTAACGTGAACGATTAGGTAAAACGTAGTCATTTGTTTATTCCTTAATGGATTGGGTTCAAGATGGAAAGTAGATAGTAAGAAGTAGAAAGTGAAAAGCGTATGGCCAGAAAGGACCACAGCATCGTATTTTACATGCTTATATACAAATCTCGTTATGGCAGCCGGCGGAAATGCCGGTGCGCCGAATGTCCAGTCCATCCAGGTTCTTACGTTTAGGTTTCTTTTTTTGGGGTACAGGAGGTGGACAAGGTCGTTGCTCCAAAGCATGCTCATCTGGTTTCCAAAGCAACTTGTCATCCACATGCCTCAGTAGCCTTCTCCTCTGATGCGCCGGTCGCGGTGGGATAGGTGGTGGATGAGGTGCAGCCGTTACAGCCAGAGGTGACATGCACGCCTCTGCAAAGGCGCTCATGGTGACCATCTCAGCTGCATCAGGTACATGACCAGGTGCAAAAGGAGGTGGTGGTGGAGGTCCTCTAGTCGCCTTTACACTGCTCCTAGAGTGCAGGTTCGATTTTGGGTCAAAATGAGCGGCTGGTGGAGCAGTAGGCGAAGGGGCGGCGACCTTTAGCTCTGGCAGCAGATTGGTGCTCTGTGACGGTAAAGGTTGAAAAGTGGATGCTAAAAGTGGATCCTCCTGTACACATGGATATAACTTCTGGTGTCCGCTCAGGATATCACTCTGCGGTGCAAACGCTTTCGCGGGTGCAGACGAGTCCACTGCTTGTTCGGACGCGCGTCGGGCTTCTGAACGAATTTCCGCAGCAAGAGTCTTGCTCTCACACTTGATTCCTGCGGCCGATGTTGATGATCCACTCGTACGACTCTCAATGGGACTCAATATGACTACCGAGTCCACGTCTGCAGTTTCCTGATTATCTGTCGCAGGCAGTTTCCAGCGACTCGCTCTCTTTGTTCCCACGGGCCTCGGCCGATCCGCCAAAGCAAGAGGAGGCCCTGCAGGTGGGATAGGGTCCGCCAGATGCTCGTGACGTTGCGATACCGGGAGGTCCAGCCCCTCTTTCTTCATAGTAGCATAGTAAACGCTTTCCAACGCACTTGCAACTGTGTACGCACACGCCCAAAATTCAGCTTCCACTTTCCAGAAGCGCTCGCGAGCGAATTCCGCGTTATCCTTTGCATTTACATGTAGACGATGCCGCGCAACGTTCAATAGATGAACTTTGCGCAACAGCTTCCGTTGTTTCTGTACAGGTACATTCAGAAGAACCTGCGCGTCTGTTTCCACCAGAGAGGGTTCCGGAGCAATCTTGGCTTGGCGTTGGCTTTGAGCTTTAGCCGTCCTTTCTGCGCTTACTGCCTTCTTTTCGGCCACCTTTACCTTCCTTACATAGAGCAAGCTTCCTTCTTCCCGATCAAGCAGTTGGCGTAACGTTTGTAACACTGTGCCAAAGCTGGTGGAAAAGGTCCGTAAAGACAATGTGGTTGCGGGCAGGACCAGCTGCGAATGCAACATGTCTAAAAGTTGCAAGTAACGAGGAGTAGGCGGTGTTTCGTCATATTTGAGATGGGCCTACACGGGACAGAGTGTGAGACTGTAGTGGTGATGACGGACAACCTTGTCTTGTTGAGTCAACTTGCCATCCAATCTTTTCTCCACCACTCCCGAAGCAGTCGACAATGATTTTCTTGCTCCCTGCACATCTTCTCCCATCCATTGGCCGCTTTCTGCACACTCTTCAACCCTTTTTTCAAGGACACAATCTTTCCTTTTACCGCACCTTCGTCTATCTCTCCAAGCATCCCATCCATGCGCTCCACCTCGACCTGGCAGTTACCCATCGCTTCTCGAAAAACATTGCAAAGCCTCTGCCACATTCCGCGCGCCGATATAATCACTGCATGTAGAAGACGTATACCTTGCTCACACTTCATTTGCTCGCGTACATATGCATCAGATCGGGACAGGGTGATGAGGAATGCGATATGGGCGTCGAGAGATGCAACAAGTGTCCGTGAAAAAATTGGTACTTCAGACGTGAGATGGGCAATATTGGTAAAAGACTTTCGAAGGGCGCTACTCTGGGATGGTGATTCATACTATAACAAAAGCATTCACATTAGCTGAGATCGATTGATTGGTACCTAACAAATCGGCAATAAATGTACCTGCACCCATAAAACGGTCGAGGCAGCACTGTCTTCTGTAGCTTGAACGTATTCCATCCACGCCATTTTCCAAGCTTTTGCACTTTGTATTGCCGCTTTATCATCCTTTTTACCCCCAATACACAAACGCTGTCCTATAACCAGTCCTGTTGAGACGGTTGATCCATTGGTAGATGCCGCGGCACCCATGACGTCCGTATCAACTCTAAATGGATTCTAAAATGAGGTATTTATATTCACCCTATCGTCCAAACCACGGCGGAAGACATGACATTGTTGTTGGTAGTGTCATATTTTGAACCACATTTGCAAGAAAGGCCACCAGCAAGTCCGACTTGAGCCAAGTGGATGCCGTAAGCCATTTCGCCCAATAAGGACATTATTGAATCACGTGCCATATTGCTGTGGTTGGGAACATCACTTCCACAACGATGCTGGCATATAAACTGAACAAAGGCTCCAAGAAACAGTATATTTTATTTCTATGCAAGTGACGGGTGAGCGTACCCACCCATGACAGATCTAATTAATTGTCCAATGATGTTCTCAAATATACAAAGTCTACTGTAAACAAAAAGTATTAAGATATCGATCCACTATTCATTATTGCAATGTTTCCTTTGACAACCTCCGTCTCAACAGATTTCCAAGCTTCTTGCTGAAAGACCCATTTTTTAAATGTCCGTCTGTATTGCCCAGTTTTGCATCAGGTCCTCCACCTCGATCCGCGCTTGCTCGCGATTTTGCAATCGGTTTCAAAAAATCGGCTAGCGTTGATGGGGTGCGTGTCTTATCGAGGTCATGACTGCCAGGCTCTTCCGTTACATTGTTACGCGTTGTAGAAATGAAGGCGGAATTATCCAGCTTGTACAGCCCTTGTGTAGAAGTGCCAGCACGTCTCCCGTTCATCACGCTGGGGTTCTCCGGTGGCGTCGACTTGGAAGTAATCTCGGCATTATCCTCATCCAATGCCGCAGCAACCTTCTCCCAAAGATGGCCCAGATTCCCAGAAACATTTTCCTCACTGTTGGAATCGCAATCAGACTCGTCGTCATCCTCAGAGGCGCTGCGTGCTCCGGCAATATCCCCCCACACATCCTCTAACGCCACACGCAGTCGAATCTTTCCCTCGTCACGTCGAATAGCATCTTGATCGAAACTAACCTTCTTGGGCAATGATCTCTCTCGCTTTGGCTTTCGGTTTCGTCTACTCGATGTAGAAGGTTGATAATGACTTGGGGGTACCAAGACCTCGTAGCCACTAGAAACTGTATCCGGGAAATACTGTCTCCGCTGACGTGGACGCGCTGAGGACTGTGGTATAATCATCTCCCCCAACGTTCCCGTTATGGAATGCACGATTCTTTGCACTTTTCCTTCCGCATTCGCAAGCGCGTTCTCCAGTTCCGCCCTCTCTGCATCCCATTGGGCCTCTTTTTCCGCCAATACCATCATAAATGCCTCAGACGCAAGCAGTTTCACTGCTTCTTCCCGTATTGAAAGCATCCTATCGGCAGATCCATTGTTGTCGGAAGATGATGATGATACGGCGGAATCACTACTTTCATCCCGATGTTGTGCTCCTCCCTGCTGGACAGCCCGCCCGCGTGTCGCCCAGCTCATTGGCATCCTCCCAGCTCGCCGCCTAACCATTAGTCTAAAAGCATCCCAATCTCTCACGTCCGCTAAAAACCCCGACAATGCACTATTGTGTCCAGCCAGTCGCGCAGCCATTTTAGGAGTCAAATCCTCTCCATCCCAATCATCACCGTTTTTGACACTGTCATGCAAATCCTCCCCAAATACGCACCACGCGAATTCCTCAAAATTCAGTTCCTCAGGCGCGAGCTCGTTCCAAAATGTACGAAGGGTCACGAGAGCTTCTCTTGTCTTTTCAGCGGCGTCGACCAGCGACGACGAGCCATCACAAACGGCCCATTCGACCCTTCGATCACCGTCATATCCAGGTAACGCTCCGCGGACAGGAGGAGAAATTGAAATCTTTAGATAATGGTATTTGCGGCGACGGCTCTGGCGCTTGGTGGGGTGTGAGTCAGTATCGTTTACCCCATTGCATTTCTGAACTGCATTCGGTTGTGACGAGTTTGAAGGTGGGCTCGAAGTTGAAGAATCATGTCGTGGTTGCTTCGAAGCAGAGTCGGGTATCACCACTGTAGCCGTTGAAGTCGTCATTGATTCAGGGCGAGTAACGTTCGTCGACAGAGGTCCGCATGGGCGTGTACCCTGTTGCAAACAGTAGATAACTTGGCTACCCCCGACTGGGCATCCAGGTGGTGGGCGGTGGGGGCAGCGCCTTTCGAATTTCAAAACCGACCCTGTCAATTTGCAGCTGGCGAACCAACCAAGCCCCCCGTGGAGTCATCTTCCACAGCAGATCTATTACAGCGATCATTATCCTTTTAAAGGCATATTGCATCCGAGATGGTCTAAATGATTCTTACGTTATCACACCAGCCCGCGATATTTCACAAGGTCGGATGATGAATGGCACAACGACAAGAATGTGTTTGACGATGGGAATATACTATATATATTAACTATTTACATAATTTTACAAGTGATATCTCACTGTTGTGCGCTTGCTCATTATTCTCTTGTGC